ATCAGCTTAATAGATGGGACCCGCCAAGAACAGGGCCATCCATTCGAATAAGGAATACTCACGACACAAGGTGTAGGGCCCTGAACGATCGAGTGCGTCAGAGCAGGTTAACATATAGGGCCCCCGTCAAGAGCGTATGGCCCTCCATCCAAACAGGAAGTACTCCAGACCCAGTGTAGAGCGCCCCCGAATGATCGAGTTTGCTCGAGCAGGTTAACAAATAGGGCTTCCAACAAGAGCGTAGGGCCCTCTATTCGAATGGAAAGCACCGAAGACCCTTTGTGAATGGCCCCAGAATGATGGAATGTGCCTGAGCAGCTTACCAGAAGGGGCACGAAAAGAACGTAAGGCCCTCCATTCAAATAAGAAGCAACCAAAACCCAGTGCGGAGGGCCCCTGAAAAATGGAGCATACCCGAGCAGATCATCAGGTGACCCAGGCCGGAGTGTATGGCCCTAAATCCAAACACCAGAACCAAATATAGAGGGCCTCAGAACAATTCAGTCTGGCCGAAGCGGCGAACAGATGGGGTCCCCGGCAAGTGCGTAGGGCCCTCCATTCAGATAGGGAGTGCCCAAAACATTATGAGGAGGGCCCCCGGATATTCCAGTGCGCTCGAGCAGGTTAACAGATGGAGCCCCAGCAAGAGTGTAGGGCCTTCCGCTCAAATATGAAATACCCACGACACGATGTAGAGGTACCCGAATAAACGAGTGCGCCATGGCAGTTTAACAGATAGCGCCCCCGAAAAGAGCAGAGGGCCCTCCATTCAAAAAGGAGCACCCAAAACCAGATGTAGAGGTCCCCCATGATCGAACGGGCTCGAGCATCTTATCAGAAGGGCCCCGGCAGGAGCGTAAGACCCTCCATTCAAATCAGAAATCCCAAAACTCAGTGCGCAGGGCCTCCGGAAGATGGAGCGTGCTCGAACAGGTTATCAGATGAACCCGACAGGAGCAGAGGGCCCTAAACTCAAACACCAATAACCAAGGTGCAGCCCCCCCCCCCCCCGAGCACTCCAGTGTGGCTGAGGAGACGAACAGAGGGGACCCCGACAAGTGCGTAGGGCCCCATTCAAATAGTACGTGCCCAAGGCCCAATATAGAGGGCCCCGAACGACTGAATGTGCCGAGCAGGTCATCAGACAGCCCCCCACCCCAAAGCGTAGGACCCCTGCTCAGAAAGGAAGCTCCCAACACCCAGCGTGAGGGGTCCCCGAACGACTGAGTGTGCCCAAGCAGGCCATCAGATGGGCCCCCGACAGGAGTGTAGGGCCCCAAGCAAGTGAAGGAGAATTGGAAGCACCCCAGACCAATGTAGAGGGCCCAGGAGCATATCGCAAGTGTGTGGGTAGGCTAACCGAAACCCACGTTAAGGGCCCCTGAGCAACCGAGAATACTCCGCCAGGTTAAGACATGGGTCCCCGGCTATACCCCACAGCCTTTCTGGCGAATGGACAGAATCCATGGAAAAGCCCATGATTGACAGGGGTGCCCCGGCACGCTAGCAAGAAGGGCCCCAACAACAGCGCAGGCCCCCCCCCCCCCCCCCGAGTAGATGCAAAGAAATAAAGGGAAACGTGGAATGTTCCCTAACTATCGAAATGATCCTGCAAGTGGGCATATGGGTCCACCAGGAACAGCATGGAGCCCTTATACAGTGTAATGAGGCTTAAAACTTCCATTTAACAGCTTTCCAATCGTTGAGTTTTTACTTCTCATAGGTCCTTCAACCTCGCTTAAAACTGTTTTTGGTCGTCTGGGAGTCCAGATATCCAGCTTTGTTGCATTTTGTGTTAAAAACTGCATCTGTTCGGTTGGCTATGGGCCCCCTCGAAGCCAATGGGCCCCTTCGGGGCCCAAGGGGGGCCATGAGCTCCGTGCCCCCCCCCTCTGGATCCGCCCCTGGTCAAAGTCCACACCGTTCAGGCAATCCCGCTTGACGTCACTGGGGGAAGTGAAGTCGAGCACGGGTGGGGTCAGCACGGTTTCCCACGACCTGTGCCCGAGGTCAGTTTCGGTACCGACAGTGTGGTGGGATTCGCGGTGTGTGTGCGCAATGTATGAATGCATGCTACACGTGCGCCGGTACTTTACTAGCGGTGACGTTCAAACATCAGCATTCAGTGCATCAAAGCACCGCTGCTGTCGCCCTGGCGCGATGAGCACTCACTGCACGAAAGCGTGTGATCTTACACCGCTGGACCGGTATGCAAGACGGCTGTTTGGGCGTGGGGCGAGGCCCAGCTGGCCACATGAGACGCCCGCTCTGCGGACCGGCTGGAGCTCTCTGTCGACCGCCCTGCCGTGCTGAGCAGCGCTCGAAGGCCGGATGCGGCCGGGCCTGGGGATCAAGGTCACGCATCACGACGTGACGGACATCTGGACACGTGACCGTGTGACGATAGACTCATGCGAAGACTGTTCATTTCGCGACCAACATGGGGCCTATTTTGACAAAATTGGATGGCGTGGCCAATTAACTGCACACACACTGGATGTCACCGGTAAAGGTCAGCGACGCCAGGTGCCGTGATGACCCCCGCAGGTGCGCTCGACGGCCATCAACTAAATGCCATTTGCAGCAGCTGTCGAGCCACTTGCAATCGCGGGGTATCGAGCGAGCGTCAATAACGCGGTGGTATGTGTTTCCTGCTAGTGTGATTTATCGGACGGAGCAACAATCTTAAGACAACCAGTGGATGTGGGGGAAATATTTCTTTCAAACCTATAGTGACGCTCTATAACGGTAACACTTTCGCGGTGGGCGCTGTCTCACCTTTCGAGCTCGGTAAAAATTGTCATTGTCAACATGTTTTTGTTGAGCGACATCTCGTAATTTGCAAACTAGGATCACCGCTGTTCACACCGAATGCTGGATGGGCAATTCACATCCCAGTTCTGTGGGTCAGTTCACCTAGTGCAACTTACACCAGGTGAATATAAAAGCCCATCAGCTGCAAATAATCTTGAACCTTGATTCGATGGTCTGAAGATCGTGAAGCCCCTCCAGAAAAGGTCAGGCGAAAGGCGAAAAAAAATATAGGCGAAAGTCAAATACTGCATAATTAGGGGTCGAGATCAGCAAGTTAGCCTTGGCCTTCCGAGGGTGAGGTACGATCGCGATGCCTCGAGAACAAGTATGTGAGTTGCTAGGTGCACTAGCAAGGGATATAACGCACATAGATAAGACAGTAGTAATAGCCATTATCTTCGCAGAAAGCCAGGAGGACGGAGACATTGATGCGTTGATATCTCGGCAACAGGCGTTTATCTAAACGAACAGAAGAAGTAAATAATTAGCCAACAAGTAAGTAAACATCTGGGAAATAATGGAAAGTAACTTGATAAATAACGGGTAAGTTGTAAGCAAAAACATCTTTTTGCTATTCGTTTCGATAAATGGATGTTGCAGAAATATGAACGAGACTATACATCCATGCTCCTGGTTTTCCTACGACTAATTCGCCTATTACTACTGCCTGACCTCGAGAACGAGTTCTAAATCTAGAGTATGGAGAATCGATATCGATCAGATATAAATATCTTGAAATATGATCAGGGAAAGATAATATTTGTCTAAATCTTGACGTTTTTCGTGGGTAAAGCATGCCTTTGAAACCCCGGTCATTTGGTTCATCATGATGCACAGCCTTTTTATGAGCCTGGTGCGTTGATTTTCCAAGTAATGAATGGTAACCAATAAGTGCTCACTATTTTGACCTAACACAGTTCCTATGGGCGCCAAACCTCTTTCGGGGACGGAGGGGGATATCGAATCGTTTGCCCGATTGCATCCATTTTAAAAGGTTAACTTCAAAAAAGTCTGCGAAAATTGTATCGACGGCAGTAAGCCGTGATGCAGCCTTTCGATGTGGTATGGTTCGGAGGCTCCGATGCGGAGTTTGCGCCGCGCCCCCTGCCGGGACCGGTGCGGCTTTGGGCCCGCTCAACCACCTCAAACCGCAAGCACGAGACCGGTGGGGGAGGTCTTCACGGAATGTCAGATTAGGTTCCAGCACAGCCTCTCTTCAGGCCAGGTCCAAAGATGCATTGCGGTGTTTGGGTCCAGCATAGCCTCTAAGACTAATTCGATCTAATAACGATTGTGACCAGTGGTCTAACGGTGTTGGGCCTTACGGTCTGTTTTCGTTTTTCCAAGATAAAACTGGCCTCGAAAAAACAAATTGAAAAAGGGATGTTGCAATTGGGAACAGCAGTCCGCTTTCGATGATGGTCACCATGGCAAGTAACTGAGTAACTAACGGCTTCGCCAAGTCGTATGGAAGTGGTGGCGTTTTTTACAGTGATATTTTTGTTGTTTGACTTTCACCATGGTTTTTGTCTAAAAAAAGCTGAACAGACTCCGCTGCGATCGCCTGATTAGAAGACTTGCGATCAAGAACTCGAAAATGCAAGGACACTGAAAAAAATGATCTGCTCGCTGTAGAAATCGCGGTCAGGACATTTAAGCTGACGTTGACGAAATATTTTACGAACGAGCCCGATGTTGCTACCACAACTAACGAACACATCATTTGTTCGTAATAAACGTGACCTACGATTTCTAACCAAAGACAACTCCCACCAGTCGATCGATCAGCTCGTCGAAATGCTGCCGGCCACCCACATGAGACTGGCCGTGGGCGGCGGTGGCGACCGAGCCCGCAGCCGTGTGTTGACCTTTGACCCGTCGCGACCCACGCGGGTCAGTGAAGTGCGATGGACGGCGGTGGCGGCTGAGCCTGCGGCAGCATATTGACCTCTGACCCGTTGTGACCCGCGCGGGTCAGTCACGTGCGGCGGGCGGCGGCGAACGGTCGATGGGCACCGAATCGGAGCTGCCCTGGCTGTCTGCTGGCGTGCTGCTCGTGGCTTTCGTGGTCGTGTTTCTGGTACACCTCGGCTTTGACGACAGCGCCGAACCACGCCGAACCAAGGGCGAGTCGTGACCTGCATTCGACTCTCAAGGGGCCGTGAGGGGCGGGAAGGCGGATTATTGGAGTACCGCAGGTAAGCCGGGCATTGACTGTTAGATCGGTTGCGTCACCGCAGCTGGCAACTCGGCATGTTGTTGGGCGACCGTATCGATTCGGTCGATTTGGAGGCTGTTTGGAGCAATGACACGCTTTCGACGATATCCTCCTCCGCAAACAATTTAGCCATCTGCTGCAACGCCGCACCGTGCGGAAGTGTTGACACTTGCCTTGGGGTACTGCTGTTTTACCACTTCGACCGCCGGTAACGATGTCGCTGCTTTATTTCGCCGCACGCTGCTTGTATAGTTTGCTTTGCACTGCGCCGCGGCGACTCTAGTGGATTCTTGACCAGCCAGACAGTCTCCTGCGGTTTTTAATTCGGGCGTCACGTGTAGCTGTACCACGCGTCCAGGCCGGCACGCTTTGGACCTGAGTCGCTCGTGTGACGCCGCAGATGCTCGCCTCGGGTTCTCCTTACTGTGTCAGTCTGCTGGCCCGGCTCGGTACCATTCTGGCCGCGGTGCCGTGCACTCCGACCGTTCCCTCCGCTCCAGGCTGGACGACTTGAGCGGTCGCCTGTCGTGGCTGGCGGCTGTTCTCCCCTGCACCGCTGACGTGTGACCCTGGACCCCTCGCAGCACCGACCATGGCTGGCGGCGCGCTCCGCTGGCTGCTGCCGCTGCTATGGGCGACGGCGGGCCTGCGCGGCTCGGCGGCCTCCTCCGCCGCGTCGACGCCGCCCGCCGGTCTGCTGGCCCGCACCATGGGCCTGCTCGGCTGGAGCCCGTCGGCAGGGGTGGACCGGCCGGCAGCCGACAACGCCACCGGTGAGCAGACGCTGTCGCACCCGACGTGGAGCGGAACGGGCCCGGCCGCCGCAGATGTGCCGCATTGGCCCCTGATGGTACGGCCCACCAATCTGCCACCTCCACGGGAGCCATAGACCTGCCGGCGATGTATTACGCTACGCGTGTATGGTGCGTAAACGAAGCTTAACAGTTGACGGGAGCTAGTGGACTGAACAGTGTTGCGTTACGTTCCGGTTTAATTGAAAGCAATTATTTTTTAGGAAATGAATGTTAACATCATGAACGTGGAGTGTGACCTCGCCCAGCGTAACCAGGGCGTAAATGGGGGCGGGCGGCGGATTGAAAATGGCCAAAAATTCGCGACGAAATTCATGGATTTTTCCCAGGTCCTATCATTCCTGACTTGACCCATAGCGATCCTATTACTGTGATCCGTAAACCCTATAGGTATCTGTGAGTCGCGTAAGTTATACCGCTTACATCATGCTACTGTTGCTGTTGCGGTCATATCGCGTGAGGCCATGCAGTGTCCACCTCGCGTCCTGGTCGGGCTTACGTCACATTTATACTGCAACTAAACGACAGAACACTGAGAAGTCGGATCCTGGGCCGTCCGCAGTCTTCGGGACGCTTTGCTGTAACTCTGCGCTCGCCGGCAGAAATCGTGGAACGCTTCAGCACTCGTCTGCGTGTCGGCTTCGCCGATCGGCTGAAGGCGGTAGGACTAGTTCACCAGTCCGCCAGGGAGCGGCAGCACCATCGCACCAAGCGCAACCACCCCATACAGCTACCGCTGACCAGAGACGAGCACGGTGAGTACCCGGAGGAGGCAGGGGGTGGGAGGGGGACCGTGTTTTGGTGTACCGGGCTGTCACGTGACCGCGATTGGAGCGCGGTCACGCGGCCGACCGCCGTCGCGCCGCCTGCCTGAGACACGCCGTCACTGGATGTATCGAGCCACACGGACGCGCCAAATACGGTGCAGTCATGGCGGCGCGTAAACACGGACTGGCGGGCCGGTTGTATTGAATATCGGTCCACATCTATATCAAACACCACGTAGAAAAACTCCTCAGTGGGATCCATCAGCACACCAGCGCGCACCAAAACACAGCGCCCCAATGGGTATCACGCGCTACGCCATCAACACACGCACGACAAGAAAAAATCGACGCCATGTTATTGTCGCCTTAGGAATAAACACCGAGCCAAACTGGCGCCGTCGGACAACCACAGTGAGAAACTGACTCCAACGACTCCACATGGGACGGCGACCGCCTCCAGAACTCCAGCCTACCTGTTAGCCAGGTCGGGCATGAACATTTTAGTTCTTGTGCAGAAAATCGTAGCGAATACAAGACCGACACTCATGCGTTTTGGTGCTCAGAGCAGCTTCTGGGTATTTTCAGCTGACCACAGCATAACTAGGTTCAAAAGCATGGAAACCATATATATATATATATATATATATATATATATTATCCCCTTTGCCTTCCAAAACGAGAAGCAAAAAGCACGATGGAAGACAGAGAATCTCCCCGGAATGAGCACGCACTTAAGTGCAATTCAAGTCCACTTCGAACACTGACACCCGGCTTGTACAGCTCCCTTACGGTTGTACTCACATGAACACAGCCATAAATTTGGAGCCATTCGGAAAAAAACTAAGTCCATCTTCTCGGCAACGCCTAATAAAACTCGAAAGCAACATCGAAAAATGTAGATATTACCGCGGCGAACAAATAATATTCCGCGTAAGGCCCGAAGCACAGCATTCCTCCCTGAGCCGCAACCGGTGCGCACTGTGCTCCGAAATCCGTTTGCTAACGTAGGAACAATTTCGCGTTGCCGCCGCGGCCTGGGCGCACACAGTGGATCAGGTACATGGAGATTGCAAAAACCACACCAACACTACAGTGCATCAGGTACTAGTCCGATCACTTTCACTCTCCCGTCGTTTCCCTTGCTCTTGCCGAGGTCGGGAGCAGAGAAGGCACACGGGTTTCTAAATGTGCGGGCTAGAGTCTACAGCACCCAATACGCCACCCAACACAGCAGCTGTTCCCAACACAGCTTGCTGTTCCTCTTAATGACACCGTACACCTTTGCATGAATGCGTGAGCGCTTAGACGACGATCACCAGTACAAGACATCAAAATTTGTGGTCGGTTTTCCAAGCGGGGCCCATTTCTTCGCAAATTACGACGCAAACGCACACCACGTGGGGATGTCCCGATGACTGATTCCGTTGGGGAATGCAGCCGACGCCATTACACATAACATTGCAAGCCTGCGCACATCGATGCAGGATTCGGCCGGTACGATTGACTGGGGGAGGGGGAGGGGCTCTCTTTGAGGTATTAATTGCTACTCGCAACGAACGCCCATTGGCCTAACGTCGGAACCAGATGGTTGTTGTTTGTATAGCAGCCCTCCCCGAGCGCCGGCCTGTGGGCCGCTGCACCACACTGCCAAAAGACGCCCGCCGTGCTGACGGCGGCACTGGGCTTTCGGCTTTGGCTCCGGGTGGCGTACGCGGATGAGATACCCAAGACGGGGCGCAGCAGTCGGAGCGCTCTTCGTTGGGTACGCTGGCGCGCAGCACTCCGGGTCGGGACACTCCTCGTGTCGGCACTCCTTGTGTCGGCACTCCTTGTGTCGGCACTCCTCGTGTCGGCACTCCTTTCGCGGTCCTCCGGCTGAGGTACACATGGGTAGGGTGCCCTCTAGTCCAGCACATGGGGCAGGGTTACGCTACGCACAGCCCAAGCTACCCAGGTTGCGTCACATAGCCCAAGCTACCCTGGGTTACCTTACTGAGCCCAAGCTACCCCGAGCTGCGTTACACAGAGCCAAGGTACTCCTGGCGACGCGCTCTGGGACTGGTCACCGGGGCCTGTAGTGTGAGGTCCTCTCTGAACAACACCCCCGGACGGGCTCCTTGGAGGCGAGGTCCTCTGGACTGGGTACTACGCCGCACGCGGCCGTGCTCGGTCGCGACCGTGAGCGGACTGTATCGAACCCCAACTCACCCATGCCACTCTCGTGGGGGATCAAGGTCCGATTCAGATCAATAAACCCGCGAACGTCACGAGTCTACCCGCCCGGATGGCGATGTCATCACGTGACGATGAATGCAAAACCCGAGCATAATCGACACAGCCTTCGGCTAAGCCGTAAGAACGCCTCGGGGCGTTTATCGCTCTCAAGGTCGATCAGGCACGCAGACCGCTGCGTTGAATCGATAGTGTAGTCGGGGCCACTACCACAACAGTTGGAAAACGGAAAGCAGCGTTGAAAAAGCCGTGGTGTAAACATCCGGCAGGAGCTGCTTTTCTTCCAGTTGACCAAGAAACTTGCCGTAGGGAGATGCAAGTCCGTAGTCCAAAGTACCGATTTCAACAAAAACTGTTCACTTAAAGGATCAGTAAAGTCAAATCACTGGCTTTATACTTGAAAGCATTAACTTTACAAGGATGATTTCAGTTGTGGAGGCTGCGATTGGCTTTCACTAACTGCACGCCCTTGTGGGGTAACGCACACACATGCCTCGTGTGCCCACAATGCAAAATTTGTGCGTTGAGTTAAAAATGGGGTTACGTCATCATTCGTTACAAATGCAGCCATCCGCGAAATATTTGGCCAGCTTTAACGATACTTTAATTTAATACCTCTGCTTATTTGAGCCTTTGCAAATATTTACTTTCACCCACAAAATACGATGTTTGATGTTTGTTTAAACTTACGGGAAACTTTCGCAACAGAAAAACTGAGCGGGCGTTTGCAGACGCGGCAACGGCACATCAAACGCAGCTTTCGTGGACCAGATACACATCACAAAGCGCATTCCTTCGTCCAGGCCTCAGAAAACGCCCAGCCGGTCAAAGCGCATAAACTAAAAAGCTACACCCATGGGCTGCGCCCGTCGCCAAGTCGAAAAAGGCTAGCATGGCCAGCAGTAGGGCCGGGTCAAACCCTGGAGGTTGACGCGCGGCCGCTCACGCCAAAGTAGTCCTTGAACACCTGCGCGCAGTTGTGGTCCTCCAGGTACTGGAAGAACAGACCCATATCCATGCGGTGCTCTCTGCTGCCAGTGCGCGAGACAGGTGCCATGTTGATCTCCTCGAACACGGAGAAGAGGCGCAGCGTGTCTGGATCGCGGCCCTCTACGTCGACCACCTCTTTCTTCTTCACCATGATCCGCTTCCAGTTCCACGCCTTCACCTGGCAAGGGACCGCGACTCGTTGGAGGTGGTCGCGGTGACACGCGCACGAGAGATCACACAGCCGTGTGACAATAAGATCCTTTCAAGAGGTACCCTATCCATGACTATCTTTACACGTGCAAATGCCGTAGGGTCTGGCGTCCTGGTTAACGCCTGGAGCCTCTACAGGCCTCCCGCCGCCGCCGGAGCCGCCGCCGCCCCCTCACCCGCTTCCACCAGTCCGATGTGCTGGACGCGAGTCCCTCCACGCAGATGATGCCTGGCTTGCCGGGCAGGCTGAAGCCGGTGACGGAGCACTCTTTGGCCAGCTCGAGCATGTCTCGCCGCTTGACCTTGCTGTAGATATGGTGCGAGTAGATCCAGAGCCTCGTGAATTGGTCCGGGTGCTCCTCCTGCAACGGAGAGTACATTAGCATCGGTTCGGCGCTCATTTCTCGAAGTGGTGTCACAGCTCTTAATTGGAAACGCCGGGCTTTCATCCTATTTTTGGCGGCGTGGTCGAGTCCACTTCAATCCCATCTTAAATTTGAGTAAGATTGGTGATGGTTGCATTGATTTGGCTTGATTGGAATGTCAACACGCGTCCACAGTCTGAGCTCTGTTGAGGCCAGGGCGGTATTTGCCCGGTCTCGTCAAAGTCTGCGGGGTCGAAGCACCCTCGAACTCACAACATCCTGGAAACTTCATACTTGCCAAGTAATGTCCAAAATCACCAAGACCATCAACACCCATTGCCCGTTGGCTTTTATCCCACTTACAGTAAGGAATATGACTTGCCTCTACAGAGTCGTCCTTGATCTGGAGCTCGTTCCGAATGTATTTGTCTCCATTCTCCTGCAGCCATGAGACCACGGATCCAATGTAGAGCTGCCCAGGCTCCAAACCCTGGCACACCGGCTCATGTCAGCCGACAATCGCAGACCCAACAGAAACCCTACCAGGTGTAGCACAGATTGCAGCTGGCATGACAGGCCAATTTATGGTGGATACGACGGCACTGCAGTTTGGGGGAAAAGAAACATTCCACAACGTCCGTCGGATCGTCAATGTGCCACCACCATGGTGGTGTGCAACCATGGTGGTACACAGCAGTGGTAGATGCCACCATACCACCATGGTGGTGCGGAACCATGGCGGTACACAGTGGTGGTACATACCATCATGGTGGTGCGCAGCTTCTAACAAGCCTGTCACAGTGCCGTGCTATGGCTGGCCCTCACCACCGCCGTGCGAACTCCGTGGAAGGCGACCAGACGCTACTCCCCGTGGTGGACGGCCGAACCCACCTGTATGTGCCGCGCCAGGTGCTGGTTGATGCTGTGAGACTGGGAGCGGTTCAAGCCGTCACTCCTAACGAACACGTCCGGCTCCACATTGGGGTAGTCCAGTGGCAGGTGCACCGATAACTCCAACTTGCCCTGGAAATCACACCTACTGCATCAACAGCTGGCATGAACTAAATTTAAGAATTTATGATATGTACGAACATTACTGGTGCAAGTGGAGTTGAATTGAGCACACAACATTCCAATGAGTAATAATGATAACCAATGATAAGATTGGAGAGAAATTGGTAACTGGCTCTACTCTTGCTCATAACTTGTGAGAAATCTATAGAATTGAGAGAGATCAAGGTATAATGGAGAGAGATATGCCAAGACATCTGAGATGTTGATAGAGTTGGGGGAGAAATTACGACAAAATACACCCATCCCACCAATCAGCCAACGCGCCTGAGCGCTGTCCACCCCCCTCCCCCCCCCCGGTCTCTTTCGCTAGCCGACACCCTGGGGAGCGCGCACCTGTCCGGTCTGGAAGGCGATGGTGTAGTCGAGCCGGGCCGGGGGCTCCCGCAGGCCGCCCTCCACGTACTCAGTCATCTCGGCCACGGCCGCAGGGTCGATCACTTTCAGCTCGCCAGCGTTCGGGAACATGGCAGCCAACATCTCTAGCTCGGTGAGCTGCAGCTGGCAGGTCTCGGCCAGCTCGCCATGGTCGATCATGCGGGCCATCTCCTCCTCCAGCTGCTCCATGTCCAACAGCAGCTGGTAGTCAGCTGCAGAGTGGCTTGCCATGTCTTCAGATCTTGATGCTCAGATGTCTAAGGATAGCACACAAAGTTGTCTCAGGTTTTATGATTATATCAGATGAGACTTTCAGCTTTGCAACCCAAATTCCTTTTGACATGCACACATTCATGGTTAGTGATTATGCAGATTTCCTTTCATGGCTCAATTGCAAGTCACTGAAAGTCTGTAAGGCACAGACCAAAATGTAAAACATGCCTGTTATGCAGAACATGTCGGTACATCTGGAATGGCATCTGGTGTGGTCATGATAATATGCAACAATTTGGGTGCATGTACAGAGTGCTTAAGTGCAGTGCCCACCAATGTCAGCCTATAGAGAAAATGTTTTCTGATTAGCACTGCTGGAAAGGTAATTTCTGGCTACCATAAAATGAATGAAATCAAAAAATAAAAATTCAAAGTTATTTGGCAACTGGCAGCAAGTGGATTTTTAGCACTTTGGTACAAGAAGCATGTAATGCCAGCAAAATGGGAATCATTGTACCTACTGGTACAACTGTCACTGTAGTTGCTTGTAAGATAAACAACTGCGTCCAGTTATTCTTCTATTTGAAGCTCTAGAGTGACCTAGGAATATTTAGGCAGTGCCCACCAATGTCAGCCTGTAGAGAAAATGTTTTCTGATAAGCACTGCTGGAAAGGTAATTTCTGGCTACCATAAACTGAATGAAATCAAAAAATAAAAATTCAAAGTTATTTGGCAACTGGCAGCAAGTGGATTTTTAGCACTTTGGTACAAGAAGCATGTAATGCCAGCAAAATGGGAATCATTGTACCTACTGGTACAACTGTCACTGCAGTTGCTTGTAAGATAAACAACTGCATCCAGTTATTCTTCTATTTGAAGCTCTAGAGTGACCTAGGAATATTTAGCAATCATTGGTGAAATAATTATGATTACCTATCACAAGTGGATGCCTTCCTGCAACTTTGCCACACACATTTAAGCTTGGTATTTTAAGCTTGGCATTTTTCACCTGTGGCTAAACATGATAATATAATAGTGTAGGTTCCAGACTTCAGGGCTCATGTAGCATTGTGCACTGGCAGGCAGGCTATTCTACTGTGATACTGTAAGTCACAATAACACCACAAAGTACATCTTTTATATGCATTCAGTGCCTGGTGTGGGGAGCCTTCTTTAGTTTGGTTCCCTTCAATTGGTCTGCAAAAAATAAACTTCAACTCCATAAACACCTGGACAGCATTTGTGCACAGGATCAATGGCATGTGTGAACTGGACAGATGTTACATTGAAGTGGGCCAAATGTTTATAATCCATGTGAAAAATACTTTCCCATAATTTTATTGTGAAATTGGTGACCACGCGCCAAAATATGGGCAATGATCTCAAGTGTTCAAATGCTAAGACTGTTGTCACACAAAGAGCACATCTGGTGTATCATCGATCTTTCGGCAGCCTGATCCTTCGACGGCCAGCTGTGTTGTTACCCAGCGAGGGTAGCTTAAATTTAGCTTACCATAGCAACCAAAAGCAGATTCATTTCACCAGACCAATGGGGCAGATTATGACCATAAGCTTATTTAATACTAGCTATGCTGACCGCACCAACTGAGATGTATCTGCTCGCAATCATACACAGACGGCGTCCGCGGACCACGTGTTTCCGCCACCAAAACCAAGACCACTGACCGTCTTTGAGCAGCATACCTAAAAACGTGGCTACTGCATCAAGCACTTTTTTCAAGCAGTAGGCGGGCCTTTCAATGAAATCCTATGAAAGCAAACCACTTGAAACACGCACACAGGCCGTGCCCATCCTCCCCACCCACCTCACCTAAACAAATTATCTCCAAAGTTTGTTTACTTCGCGCCGCGTATAATACGCCTCGCTTCAACTGAGTTGACTGTTACTGTATTCACGCCTAAACGAAGGGTTAGCCCTGACAGACAATATCCAATCACAGCGCAGTATATAAAAATTACGTCACATATCGATTTGGATGGACCTGAGGCTAGGCCCCTCAGAAGCTGTATAGAAACCAGCTCGGTATCGAACATCACCAGCACCATTTTTAAGCCTGTTACTCGAATCATGACTGATTCGGGAATCATATGGCTCGATATTGAGACATATTCGACTGGAATTAAAAATCGTTGTTGAAAATTACATTTATACCACATCATAGATCGCGACTAGCTACCGTTTTGCTTATTGTGGACATGAGTTTCGCCACTAAATTTTGTTATACCGATAATTCTGACATGTTTTCTTCAGCAGTTTGTATACTATTGCTGTAGGCTGTTCACTTTCCTTATATTTATGTCATTTATTGAACCTGAAAGCCGTCATGGATTTCAAGTTTCGGGAGTGCGGGAAGCATCGTCGTCAATTCCACCTCTAATCATAATCGGACAAATCTGGAGGGTGCATGAGGTCGTTGACCCCGACGCTTGCCCGTGTTCCGTTGGCGGAGTCCGGCCGCGCCGGGGCTGGTGTTCCGCAGTTTCAAAATTTCAGTATTACAAGGGCGTGATGGTCTTGTGTCGCGCAGTTTAACTCTGCTTCATCATTTTTGATGTTCATTTGTCAGGTTTGTATCGAAGTGTGGCGTAAGCGCGAGTCCCGACATACTTCAGCACGATCCTGGGCCCGCCCGCTCAGGTCATTGCGCCTTGTGGGGTTCTGAGCAAGGACGCGGGAATCGAGGTTATTGGGGACAACCCTCCCTACCGTGAAAGGGGGGGGGGGCGGCCCCCTTTGAGTGGAAGGTTCAAATTGGTATGTTGAGGTTCATTCCGAATCGAACAGATTACGTAAGATGTAAATGTCCGTTATGGCCTGTCTAGGGCGTGTTCGGGGCCTTAAGGGCACATTCTTTTAACAGTCTGAACATACTGAGCGGCTTCTCTGACCTGTAGAAGATCCATTGCCATTCTGAGTGTTGGTTCAGGAAATTTTGTCTGCTTGGATGCACAAAGAGCCCATTGGGGCATGTAGGTCACCTTCCCTACAATGTTGAGAGGAACTTGGTGTTTTGGAGTCAACCCCCTCCTTCCCCAACTTAAGCGATAGGTCTCACCCCCCTGGTGCTGTGTTTGTCTGCTAGGATAGCATAGACAGGTGTTTTGATTTTGAAGGTCCTTCATCCTTAACCAGAACCTATGTGATTTGAAAGTGCCAAGAATATCCTGATAAGCAAAAGTCTTCTGTAATGTATTCTATTTCATTTTACAAAGTTCTGCCCCAGATGGTTAAATCAAAATCTTGCCTTGTCTACCTATTGAGTGCTGGATTTGGAAGCAAGTATATGAAACAATTATTGACCACCCATGCAGCCCGTCTCTTTCTGTTTGGTTTGGTCTCAATGTGTGGTTGCCATGCAGTCGCTCCAACACCAGTCTGGCCTGTCCCTTGTAGCCTAGGTTGGAGCCCTTTCTGTTCTATTTCAATGAGGTTCAGTCTCTACTTTTCTTTTAGGTTAAAATTGCATTTGTTCCATGTTGTGTGATGCCACCTGTGTATCTGCTTTTCATTATTTTGACATTTAGTGTGTTTTTTGTGTGTTAGTGGTGTCATTCACTGCTTTTGAAATATTTAATTTGTGCATGCAGGTTGTCTCCCATAACTTGATCATCCACTAGCTTGCCTCTGTGAATCCCAGACTACCATAGTTTCATGACCACCCGAGGAAGGGGGCTCCATCACCGATTGTGATCCAGCCCTCCAGGCTTAGTAGAACAGTGGGTGAAATTAGAAAGGACCTTCTTTTTAGGTGGATTTTGGGGTAAAGTTTTATAATTTTTCACCTCTGCCTCTAATTTATTTTGCAAAATGCACCCCTAGCATTTTCCAAATATTGATTTTCTGGTTCTTTTTGGCATTCATCATGAACATACAATAAGAGATAAGAAATCTTCATTTTTTAGAAATCTGGTTCAAACCATTTGAATGGATGGATTTTTGGGATCAGCACTCACACTAAGTGGTGCTTGTTGTGTGAGCCCTGACCCTGCACCACACCATCTCGCAATTCCAGGCAACAGCAGAATTTAGTGCTGAAAGCTTAGCATGCTGCAATGCTGGGCACGGTCGGTTCTGCCCTCTGACGTCAACTGACCTTTAGTGCTACCGCTGCCACCGGCTGTAGGCCTTACCTGTCGAGGGCAAATGGCGAGCGCCTAAAGCCACTCGAACCCACGCCACAGTGGGTGAATCAGGAAGCAAGCACTCTAACCAACTGAGCCACCAGGACAGACTAATTTGCTAATTAGCTTGGCAATGCTACTTATTTGTTTGGCAATGACCTCATTATCAGCTTGCACCTGCATGCAGTAGCCATGTTTCCTTGAAGGTGCACTGCATTTATCAATAGCAATGGTAGTGAGAAACATGATTTTGGAATGGATGCTGACATTAGAGATTACATATGAGCTGAATAATGGTATAAACAGGATAATTTTCTGAAACAAGATCTGTTGGAATGATAGATTGCTTAGTTTATAGGAATATTGTATGTTTGGAACCAAATTTTTTGGAAACCTGGAAACTAAGTGACTACATGAAGAGTACCATCCAGGTCCATGGGTCCCTATTACTTGTGCCTTTGTGCTGTATTGTATACATCATTGGTATTGATAGGACTTTGGGATGTAGCCAAATAGGACATTGTATCATGGCTGTCCACCCCTATTCTTGAGCAGAGGTTTACACCAGATACTGATCAATTTGACCTAAATCACATGTTAAGTTGACCTACAAGGTAGCCCACTTCAGTTTTTGGTAGTTCAGATAAAATTTGACAAACCCTGTGCAAGTTTTGGTTGCATGCCATACAGAAATGAAGTAAGAAAGTGCAGTTCATCCACACTTATTGCTTGTGTTGCTAGTATATTTCCTAGTTAGAAGCTGCATGTTTGAAGTGAAAATGCAGCACCCTGCATAGTAAATGCTACTCATTCTTCTGTCCCAGTAGCTCAGTTGGTTAGAGTGCCTGACATGTTAAACTTTTGCCACTAAATTCTGCACTTGCCTGAAATGGTGCGATCGTGTGGTAATAGTCTGGACTCGCACAACAAGAACTGCTTAGCATGAGCTAAGATTCTTAATTTTTAAAAAAAATCTGAGTCTTTCCTTGCCCTTGTGCCTGTCCCTGTATCTACACCTGCACCTGTACCTGCACCTGCACCTGTACCTGCACCTGCACCTGCACCTGCACCTGCACCTGCACCTGCACCTGCTCCTAGCTCTGCCTGCTCACGTTACCTGCTATCCTTGGTGTGTTGAAGTTAATGAGAGACCAGGGAGTTGAATAGAGTTCAGTGCTTGGGATATGATTGATGCATATGTGATGAAATCTGAGATACGGGAAGGCACCTCAGGGCTTGGTGTTATGGTGCAATGAAATACTAGCCTGGTCAGCCTGAACCCTACGTAGATGTGCCTGATGGCCTTGAAGGCTGTTGACTAGACTGTGTGTGCAAGCAATATGGGGGCTAATAGTAATAATAATAATGATAATGGTACCATTTTCATGACAATGGTGCTTCCTCTTTGGCAGTAGTAAAACAACTCTGAATCAAAGGTTTCAAAGTGAGTGCTTGCTGAAATATACTTGGCATAATGATGCTGGATGATGACCAGAGATTACAAACATGTGCTGTACACTGCCCCACAGGCAGACTGGCTGACAACGATGTGCTTATTATGCAGGCATTGAAAATGGTGAACATCTTGTCATCCGTGGGCAGCAGTTTCAATTAATTTTGTCCTTCACACAATTTTTTTCCAGGTGTGGAGGTGCTGACTGATGATGGAGCTGAGCTGGTGTGGGAGATTCCTGCTGCAGGTGCACATCATGTGCACATCTTCAGTGACAAGGGCAAAACCTATGCTCTGGCAGCCTTTGGGAGAGGGTCGAGGGTCAGCTGGCTGTATGAGCTCATGGTAAGTGGAAGACACACGGCTGTCACTGGATTAGTCGTGTTTTCTGTTGTGTGTGTATGGTCCTGTGCTTTTGCAGCACAATTGTTCAGATCAGTGATGTCTGCTGTACCAATTGTTTCAGTTCAGGCATGATATATGCTGGGGATGCCATAGAATAGCACACTATTTCCACAATCATTGCAGTCATGTCCACATGGTGTACATGGTCGTTGTGGAGCGCACCAGCATCCATGCCGAGTGAGCCTCTGACCGGACTGGCCGCCCACCGCAGGACAACGCCTGGGTGCCGCGCTACAACTTTTCGTCTGTTCGGCACGCTGCGGTTCACCTCTTTCATGCGCGATGACACGCGCTACGTGATCGGCGCCGAGTTCGACTGCGTCAACAACCGGGCCGACAAACGCGGTCTGATTCTGTACGAGTTCGTCGGCGGCGAGATCCGCTATCAGCACGGCCTGCCCGTGGCGTTCCCCACCGACGTGGCCATCTGGTGAGCGCGGCGGCGGCCGCGCTGCAGTGCTGGGGGCCGTCGGGTGGTGGGGAACCGCTGGTGAGCGCGGCGGCGGTGACGCTGCAGTGCTGGGGGCCGTCGGGTGGTGGGGAACCGCTGGTGAGCGCGGCGGCGGCGACGCTGCAGTGCTGGGGGCCGTCGGGTGGTGGGGAACCGCTGGTGAGCGCGGCGGCGGCGGCGCTGCAGTGCTGGGGGCCGTCGGGTGGTGGGGAACCGCTGGTGAGCGCGGCGGCGGCGGCGCTGCTGTGCTGGGGGCCGTCGGGTGGTGGGGAACCGACAGCCGCTGATGCACCGAAGCGCGAGCGAGGGCAGTATCTGCTGTCAGCTGCTCTCTGTGTGTCACAAACTCGTCTCGTGTGACGTTCCCTCTGTCGGCTGGACCGCGCTGGGATCGGTTGGTAACGACGCTGGTGCGCCCGACTGCCGTCAGGAGCGACTACGACACCTTCCACATCGGCGTGGCGACGGAGTTCGAGCGCCGGCCGGACGGGAATAAGAACTACCATGCCAACAGCAGCATTTTCAAGTGGACGGGACGGCAACTTTCGACAGTACTCTCTGCCCACATACGGCGCCAAGGACTTTGAGCACTTCCAGATGCAGAACCACTTCTTTTTGGCGGTGGCGAATCACCAAAATAATGAAGGTAGCAGTGTTGGTCATAACACTTGTGTTCTAGACAATGGTGCCAATTATGAATTGGCCTTTTACTTATGGTCTCTGCTTTGAAAACTGCACACATTCATTCAGCTGTAACCCCTGGCATTTGAAGTGTTGTGTCCCGACATGCCTGTTGCACATTTATTTTACCGAATTATCACGTAAAAGCACCCCAATCACCAATCGAGCGCCCAAATCGTTCCCATCACACGGCGATCCAGACTCCGTGCTGTCCGTTGACAGGCAGTCTGAACGTGTACAGCGAGATCCTGCGGTACAGTCTGGGCTCAGGCCAGTACCGGCCGTACCAGCGCCTGCTGACGTACGGCGCCGTGCGCTTCCGGCACTTCTCCTGGGGCGAGGGCGTGGGCGCCGAACACTTCCTTGTCGTGGCCAACCAGGCGGACCGCGGTGAGCGGGCCGGGCGCCGGCCGACGGGGCAGCGCGGGCGCGGAGAAGGCAGCTGGAGGTGTTCTGTTTGTGTGGGGCGAGCGTCTCGCTGTTGGCTCGTCCGCGGTTACTCGTCTGTGCGACGTGCGAGGTGAGAATACTTTCGTGTGAGAATACGGTCTTAGCGCGTGCGTGGTGCTGTGGCGGTCTTCTGGGTTAACGTGCCATGCCGTGTCCGCAGAGCCGGGCGACGCGGAGGCCAACTACCGCGTCAACTCGGTCATCTACAAGTTCTCGCGCATGCAGTTTGTGTCATTTCAGTGCATCCCCACGGTCCGCGTGCGGGACATTCTGCCTATTTGGGTCAGTGTGCCGAGCCCACAAGCGCAACACGTTCACCAGTTTGTCAACTGAATGGTGATGTGCCCGCACTGATCGTTTTCAAACATTGCATCACCTCCGCCCCAATGCCATCCTAGTCACATTTGAATGTGTCGTGAACAGAATCTTTGTTCGAAGCCTGTAAGACCTCACCTCGCTCACTGTACCAGTCACTTGCTCCCCCCCCCCCCCCCCCCCATTCCGCCGCGTCAGCCGCGCGCGTGATCGCTGCTGCCGCTCCAGGGGCCGCGCGGCGGGTTCGTGCTGGCTGTGGTGGACGACGATGGCCTTAAGTTGTACCAGTACACCGGCTGGCGGTTCGTGCTGTCGACCTTGGTGCCGCTGCCGCCGGTCGCCGACGCCGCCACTGAACTGGCCGTCTTCACGCACGAAGGCTTCGTCCACCTGGGTGAGTGCCCGTCGCGCCGCCCACTCACAGCCGGGTATCTGCATCGAGGGTATTGACGTCGGTGCCGGTCCCGGCTGTGGGCGGGCGCCGGCCGTCGTCTCGGAGCAGGAGCGGCGTAGCGCCGCCGCCCCGGAGCAGGAGCGGCGTAGCGCCGCACCCCGGAGCAGGAGCGGCGTAGCGCCGCCACCCCCGGGGGGCGACTAACACGCCGGCGGTGCGCCGCACCGGCCGTGTCGGAGCAGTGCCGGCAGACGCCGTGGACCCGCCGGCGGTCCGTCGCGCCAATGATAGGGAGCAAGACGGAGAGGCACAGGCGTCTGCGTCGGGGTAGCTAACTATGTAGCCATTTGCTGCAGTAGAATCGTTGAGGACCACGGCCTAAATTTATCAACTTAGATGTCTGAAAGTGGACAGTGACGTTTGTGGAACACGTGATAATGTGGTTGTGGGTTCTTCGAGGGAGGTTCTCCCAATCGCCCGGTCCCGTGTTTTAGACGTTCAAATCTGTTGAATCGCGGCACTCGTCGAGAATCTGTCTGGCACACGCCAATGATACGGAATGTGGATGCGGCGCGCAAACGTCCGCTTTGCAGCGGCGCATGGTGGTACCGGCTATGTCTGGCGGCTTTTCGATGGTGGGCGCTGACGTGCTCGTGACGGGAGTGGGCCCAGACGACTGATAGGAGTGACTGTGACGCGTAGGCGCCACCGCTTTTGTGATGAACATCCGTTTGCCACGGCCACGTCATTGGCGTAGCTGCGGTAGCACACAGGTGCGGGCGACGACACGTGCAGTGCCCGGTTGCGCCTCCAAGCAAGTATTCCGCCCGCCGCCGCAGTGCTGGTGCGCTTCCGAGCGAGTATTCCGCCCGCTGCCGTAGCGCTGGTGCGCTTCCGAGCGAGTATTCCGCCCGCTGCCGTAGTACTGGTGCTTAGATCGGTGGTGATCAGGCAGTTGCTTCTCAGTGTGGCGTATGCTGTAACTAACACGTCGCTGCTGCAGGCCTTGTGTTGTCGAATGACGACCTGCTGTTGTCTCGTGGCCTTTATCAGAAATGAAATAAAATACCACCGTCCCTCCCTGAGTTTGCGTGGACTGCATTGAACGACGTCATGAATTGTGACTCGGGAGAAGCAAGACGTCAGCAGGAGCAGCGCTGCCTCGACAAGAGCGTCATCAACGTCAAACAATAGACCAACACGGATCGGGCTGGCCTGCGGACGCGGAAGCTTGCGGCAGCCAGCCGGCCGGAGGAGACGGCGGGGGGGGGGGGGGTATAGGCGAGGATCGCCTGAGAGTTCCCGGTGCACGACATCTGAGCGGAGACAGCGTTGTCGCGGCGGTAGCTCAAATCTGCAGACACGGGCCTTGCGCCGTGTGCTCTACTCCGATCAGCCTGGAGACAGAAAATTTTCATAATTCCCTGCTCGTGTAATCGTATTTGTATTTGTGTACATACGCGCATTTTTAATCACCACAATGGGGAGAGGGTGCAAATGGCTAAATGGCCAAGTGGGGTTTCCGCGAAGGAGATCAACGTGCCCTCAACTGGTTTTTGTGTTTTTCTGTTGAAAGTGTTTCCTGTGCATTATGTATTTTTCGTCTGGTCCAGTTCCTTCAGCAAAAGTCGGTGGCGCACCCTACATGACGAGTGGTACGCAATAATGAAACTAAGTCTGTAATGAGCAGCTATGATTCGCTGGCTGTCATGCTAAACAACGCATGTCTGCCCTATTTTCAATGTTGCTGTTTTGGGCAACATTATCAGCAAGCATTGCACCACCCCTTAGCTCCTTAACTCCTTCCCCACATTTGCCGCCGTGGCCGGAATTGCCTCTCCAATAAAGTTCCTCAAAACAAATTCTGAATGTTAAGAGGCCGGCTCGGTTCTGCCCCCCCCCCCCCCCCCCCCCAAAAAAAGACAACTGATGGATTCGTCAGTCTTCCACGTAGGGACATCGTGGGATTGCGCTGGCTCAAGGCGATATTTCCACGTCGCAAAGCTATCAAATGTTACGGCAGATAGTACGGGGGTCCTGCGTTTGGAAAGCAACTTTGCCAGACTTCGCCAACATTATCCGCGTTCACGCTGTACACGTCCTCACACGGACGAACACCCGGTCGACCGCTGCTCGAGCCGCCCTGTCGCCGTCTTGACGCTGCGCTCCCAGCGGTGAACGCCGACGGCCAGACGGGCCCCAGGGTGTGACCCTGCCCACAAGGACGCTGCTCCGAGCCTGACCCGTCAGCCGGGGTGGCTGCGCTGGTCCTGTTGGCGGAAGGGCCTGGTGCTCAGCGAGCCGCCTCCGCCGGCCGGGCTCGGCAGTCGTCCGCTCGGATGGCTGACCTGGGCCGACCTGACCACGTCAGGCGCCTGCTGTTCAGCCAGTGGCCTGGCCCAGATCTGGCCTGGTCTGACCTGACCCCCGCCGCCAGCTGTGGCCGGGACGGGTCGTCCCACACGGACGAACTCCATCAGATTTCCCTGCCCAGCCGCTAGCCGTGAGCAGTCTGGCTGCACCACCAGACGCTCTCCCATGTCGTGACCTGACCTCTGCCCTCGCCTCCCCTCCAGCCGTGGGCAGTCCTGGTGGGCCGAGTTACCTACCGACCATCTACCGCCTGCTCTTCCAACGGCGCACCGACCTGCGCGACCTGCACCAGCGGTGCATGACCTGGTGTCAGGACCTGCGCGTGCGCGTGCAGGCGGTGCGGCCGCGCGTGACCGGGCTGGGCGTACGCATGCAGGCGGCGCCCCGGCTGGACCAGCCCGTCTCGTTCGCCTCACTGCAGCTGAGCGCCGCACCGCGCGCCCGCATCCGCTCGGTGGCCGTCAACAATGTGAGCAGGCCGGCGGTTGCAGGGGTACTCCGGATGTGGCTAGAGTCTCCCTCCCCCCCCTCCCCCCTCTCCCGGAGTTTTCACGCACAACTGGGCAAGAATGAAACTGGTCGTGAACTAAGTTGGGTGTTGGGCATACATGTTTGGTCATCTTTGTATGTTTTGTTTTTCGTGATTTGCACGTGGCTTGGTCTGTAGTTGCTTTGCGCTTGCGGTGTGTGTTGGGCGGAAGGACAGGGCACATCGAGATAAGCTAGCAGTCCAGACCAGTGTGTGGGTAAAAAAGGGAGAGTTGAACGCGACCACCATTAACGCTAGTCACTGTGAGCGTTTGTCCCACAAGGTCCCACATTCTCTCCTAGACAATCCATTCCACGCATGTCGGCGTCCTCGGCGTCACTCAGATGCGATAGCGTTATAACAATCATTAACGAGTCCATACGCCCCCACTACACCCTGACCATTGCCACGTGATGATATCATTTATCATCACTACGTGATGACAGGAATCTGGAAAACTGTCCATGGTCGCAGGTACGGCTGGAAACGAACACGCTCAACTCTGGCCTTCTGGAGCGGCTCAAGTCGCTGCAGCGGCGACTGCAGGCGGGCATAGCCTCGCTGGCCGGCCTGCACCACCAGCTGGCCGGTGCCGTCTCCATCAACGCCAACCACACCTTCTCCAATGGTTCGTCAGACCGCCGTCCGCCCGGCCCCCACCACCCGGCTCGCTCATAGCGTCCTCTGTCGGATGGCGCAGGCGCGGGTGACTTGCGGACGGATGGATGCTGGGCGGTCCAGCTTGTCCTCGGAGAGCGATGGCCGCCGCCTGGCTTGTTTTGAAACAAGAAGATACTTAAATTGAATGAGATATGTGTGTGATACTTTTATGTATTTGTTAAAAAAGATTAAAAAGATATTTCGTGCCCCGGAAGGCATGTACTGTATCAAGTTTGGTTAGGCGGTGTGGTGAGCTGACTTTGTGTGTCACGGCACCATAGAAGCCTTTCTGCCGAATGTTCTGCGCCTGAACAAGCCTGAACATGAGCTGTTCATGGTAAGCCTGAAGACAGCCGTCGAACCCTTAAGCGCTCTCCTGATGACTCCTCCCAGTACCCCACTCCGTGCGCGGCCACCACCGTCACATCATCGCCATCACCATCATCCCATCAGCGCAGCCGTCAGCGCGGGGCCCGCCCCGCCCCGCCCCGCCCCGCCCCATACCGAGCCGCTTACCCCCGCCCACAGGCGTGACTGTCACCGGCCCGTGGCACCTGAACAACGCCCACGTCGGCTCGCTGCGCGCCCAGCGGCTGAACGGCATCGGGGACTTGGCCGGCTTCCTGGCCGACGTCATCTGGACGAACCGGCCGTTCGTCGCCGACTCAGCGAAACTGGCGTTCGGCTCGCTGGTGGTCCAGGACGGGGTGAGCAGGCGTGCCGACCAGGAGGCTGGGCAGAGGCAGGCGTGTCGACCAGGAGGCCGGGCAGAGGCAGGCGGGCCACGTATGAGGCTCGACAGAGGCAGGCGTGTCGATCAGGAGGCTGGGCAGAGGCAGGCGGACCACTTATGAGACTCGACAGAGGCAGGCGTGTCGATCAGGAGGCTGGGCAGATGCAGATGTGCCGATCAGGAGGCTCAGCAGAGGCAGGCGTGCCGATCAGGAGGCTGGGCGGAGGCAGGCGGGCCGCTTATGAGGCTCGACAGAGGCAGGCGTGTCGATCAGGAGGCTGGGCAGAGGCAGGTGTGTCGATCAGGAGGATGGGCAGAGGCAGGCGGGCCGCTCAGGGGGCTGGGCGGAGGCAGACAGGCCGATCAGGAGACTGGGCAGAGGCAGGCGTGCTGATCAGGAGGCGGGGCAGAGGCAGACGTGCCGATCAGGAGGCTAGGAAGACGCAAACGTGCCGATCAGGAGGCTCGCCAAACGGTCGGCGCTGTTGGCTGGTACCGTTCGGGGTTTTTTGTTGCGAGTGATTGTGCTTGAGTGCTTTTGAGTGTTGAGTGTCTATAACATAAAACCAAACTGAAAGGGGCTGGGATTTGTTTTCAATGGTCTTGTTTTTGACGCCTCATGAATGTAGAAAGAATCGTGTACTTCCTTGACGTGGATGACGAAGTTTTGTCGTAAGGCGACGGCTATGTTTTGACAGTCTACCTTTCGCCAAAATGTTACAAACGTGATGGCGCCCGGCCAATCCATAGACCACATTTAACCCTTCGAGGCATCCACAACCTAAGAGTGAGTGCCGCCTGTGGTGTAGGGGTGTAGCTGCGCCTATGTTAAATCAGAGGTACGGGTCGATTCCCGCGGTGCCTGCCCTTCCTGCCAGGGTGAGAAGCAGGCGAAGCCATAAAGCCTTAGCGGCTGAGTGTGTCGCAAAACCCCAATGACACCTGAACATCCACGGTTGGTTCCTCGGGCTTCTCCGGGTAGTAAATGCTTTTCCTTGCACTCGTGTCCAGGCCAGTCTGCACGTGGGCACGCTCAGCCACGTGAACCCGGACAGCTTCGTCACGCTGAGCGGCAACCACGTGATCACGGCCAGCAAGGTGGTCCACGGTCACGTGACGGCGGGTGACGTCACCGTGCTGGGTCTGGTGAACGGCGTCTTGATCGACACATCGACGGCCATCGTGCAGAGTGTGCTGCCGGGTGAGCGCGCCGCTGGCTGACGACGCGGGCTCGGGCGGGGTGGAGCGCGGACCTTGTGATGTCACCAGCCGTGGGACAGTGCTAGACCGTGGGTCTGTGCGCGCACGGGAGTCCTTCCTTGGCGCGCGTCGGTGCTGAACTTTGGCAGCGTTGGTGCGGTGAAACTTCTGTGACGCCCTGGGGATGGCGGTGGTGGGACGGATCAAATCGGAACAAGACTGCCTGTGTTGTCATTCTTTGCGTCCGTTGTCGACTACGGCCGGCATCAACCCGTGTTGAGCAGAGAAAATGCGTGCTGTCCAGTCTGCCACAAGCGATCCCATTCGAGACCTGCCTCTGGCTGACGCCTGCCCTGCGGCGCCGCAGCCGGCGCGTCCCAGTTCGGCACGGTGACAGCGACGAGCCTGGACGTGCACCTGATCAACGGCATCGACGTCCGGACGCTGCTGCAGCAGTCGATGTCCGTCAGCAACGGCACGCTGTCCGGTGAGGGGCGGGGCTGCCGGCCGCGAGGAGGCCTTCGTAGGGATCTGGCTGCCGGCTGGGTGGACTGGAGTGTCACTGTGCAAATGAATGTAGAATGGATGTTTGAGGTGGCTGTTTTTGAATGTCTGGTGGTGGTGATGCTTATCTGGTTGGCGTTGTTTCCGGCGCGGTTTTGTCCGTGCGGCAGGCGGTTAATAGCTCCTTGTTAGTCGGTTATGTGGACGGGATTATGAGGTGACATGATGGCGACGAGGTGTGACAATCCCTGGTCGTAGGCGGGCACAGCAGCTCCGCTGCCGTGACCGCGTTCCGTGGCTCGCTGTCACAATTCTCTGTATGTCCGCTCGAGTCGCCCTGCCCCACCCGACACCTCGTTACCCTGCCGCAGGCCCGCTGCACTTCGCCGGGCCCGTGGTGATCCAGACGGCCTCCGCGCAGACCATCAACAGCGTCTCTGTTGACCGACTACTGCAGCACGCGTTCACCACCGCAGGCGGCCAGACCATCGCCGGTCAGGCAACGCATGACCGGCGGTGTAACATGGCTGCCAGGCGGCGCGAAATAATTTAATGACAATTATCTCTGGGAGGCAGCCATGTTAGACGGTGTCAGCTCAGAGGATCATTTCGCTCTCTTTTGCGCTTCCAGCCGCAGCTCTGCCGTCGGAAGCCAGGTCGACTCTCTCCGCCAGATGGCAGCCCGCATTTCTGTCTAACATTGTGCATGGGACGGGGCCCAAGCGCATTGTTGTGGATTACGAACCCGACCGGAAGAAAGGCCGACTCACGCCCGCTGTCTGCATCACTGCCGGACAGTGACTGCAGCCATGTGCCAAACCAGCCGATCTTTCTTTTGGAGCACCACGTAACACCCGGATCGTGCGCTCCGTCACGGTGTTCGCTGAGCCGGCGGCCGGCTCCCACAGGCGCCTGGACCGTCGGCACCCTGCACGTGGTCGGCGGACTGACTCTGCGCGGCACGCTGGGCGGGCTGCGCGTGCCCGACGACCTAGTGCTGGTGCACCGGCCGGAGCTCAGCTACCACGTCCAGAGTCTGACCTTTTCCACCGTCGCCGCGCGCCAGCTGATCGTCACCGACCGTCTGGGCCCCGTCAGGGTAAGGCACGCGCTGCTGAGCGGCCCGAGAGGCGGGGCGTCGCTGCTGACGTCAGCGGTGGACGGGATGGGGATGCTGGGCGCGACTGTGCTGCCGGTCCGCGTTGCTGCCCGCGCGCTGCGGCAGGCGCCCGCTCTAGCGCGCGATGCGCCGGGTAGCTCCCCACCCGACCCCGAGTCGAGCATCGGGTGTCATCGCCGTCGGAAGAAGCGTGGCGGCTGATGGCCATGGACAGTCCTGCGGTCTCGTGCTCCGCCGTCCGTTCCGACCGTGACCGCCGCCGTGCCCCGCGGGCAGGTGGTGGACGGTCGCCTGCAGGTGCTGTTGACCTCCGGCGATCAGCTGGTGACGGGTCAGAAGATGATCGGCACGCTGCACCTGACGGGGGACTCGCTGGTGGAGGGCCTGATCAACGGCGTGAACGTGTCGGCGGCGCTGCTGAACCAGGCGCTGGACCAGGCCACCACCGTTGTCCGTGAGTGCGGCGTCCCGACCGGCGCCGCGCTGGTGGAGGATAGGGGATCAGACGGCGGGCGCGCGCGGTCGTTAATGCTGTGGTTGGCTACCGTTTGCAATGCCGGTTGGCTACGTGGTATTAATGCCACCAGGAAAGAGACCCTGGTAGACAATCATGCCCTTCGTTGCCGACGCTCCATTGCAATGTCGAGCAAAGCAGAACTGGAGCAATGCGTCATGCCGTGTAGCTGAGCGCAATCGGGCAAAATCATGTTAAAGGTTTCGTCTTACTTCGTATGATGTATACGTACGTGCGCGTGACGGCTACGTACGTACGCATGAGATTGTGCATGGTCACAGCTTGCATTAAGACCCTCGGTCGTGATGCACTCAAAGCACGTGCAGCGAATACTGGGCGACGGCTCACGACATACCCCGGGAATAGGCCTGAAAAGCTAACGCGTACGTTGTCAGCATGCGTGGTGTTTGCGGCGGCGTGACTTCTTGCCTGGTGGCGTCCGCGGCCGCAGACGGCGACAAGGTGATCAACGGCAACGTCACCTTCCTCTCGGACCTGCATCTGACGGGCCTGCTGAACAGCGTCAACGTCACGGCCCTGCTGGACTCGGCGCTGAAGCTGACAGACAGCACGCTGCCGCCGCTCGTGTTCCAGGACCTCGTGGTGGGCCGGGCACTGGGACCGGGTTGTGTGCTGCTGCGACAGTCAAATGGCTGGTTTTCATGGGTGCGCGCGTGTTCTGTGAGTTGCTGAATGCAGGCCGATGTGCCCAGCGTGTTTGCTCGGTTGCGGTTGACTGTTGCTTCCTGCAGCGTGTGTGCGTGGGGAGGGGGGGGGGGGATGCGTTGCCCTGCCTCCCGTGTCCAGCCCAGGACAGAGTCCACGGTGTAATAGGCTGTAGCTTGCCGTCTCGGCCCTCTGAACACCGACCGGCCGTCTGGTGGCCAGCCGGTGCCGACACTTCACCAGAGCCGACACTTCACCAGAGCCGACACTTCACCAGTCGCCTCCGGCCCCGTCAGTCCTGCCCCTCCCCGCCGTCAGATCTCCGGCGACCTGCAGACGACGCTGCTGAACGGCCAGGAGCCCGCCGACTGGGTGCTGACCGACGCCGACAGCCAGGTGGTGACGGGCAGCAAGACGCTGGTCTCGCTGTCGGCGCGTCGCCTCTTCGTGGACCTGCTGAACGGCCTGCTGCTGGACGACTTCTACCTGAGCGTGCTGCGCACCAGCGGTGACCAGCAGGTGCTGGGGCCGCTTCTGTTCGTCACCGACACGGCGTTCGGCACGTGAGTTCGTCGGCAGCAGGTCAGCGGGGTCAGCACAGGGCGGCGGCGAGTGGGCCTGATGCCTTCTGAAAGAGTGCTTGGAGTCTCCCCTGCAATAGCTGCGCCGTAGCCCAAGGTGCTTAGGAACCTGGCCCATGGTGATGTGTGGGGCAGGCGACAGGGAAGGCGCTGAGGGCGGTGCGCCGTTTGCGTTGCCTTTGTGACGTCAGATGAATGTGGCTGCTGTTGGGCGGTGGGGTGACGTTGCAGCTTGTATCTACTATCATAAATAAAACCTGGCAACCGGAAACCAACGTCTGGTGCTCATATTCTTCATGTAACCCCCGCTTTAACCTTCCGACGGAGTGAAGGTGTTAAGCTTTGATAGACATCAGTGTGACGCTTCGCTGTCATTGTAAACGGTTGAAAGAACTACCAGCGTGTTCTCACATGATACCAATCTAGCATGGTGCACACCGCGCCCTTTCGTGCGCTCGACCTGCTAGCCAGTTGCCTGCCCGATGAAGCGGTCACAGCACCCGCTGTCTGTTGGCCAGCCTGACGGCGGGCGCGGTGCAGTGGCAGGGGTACGACCTCAGCGAGGCCGTCACCGTCTCCGGCAGGCACACCATTGCAGGTGAGCTCGCGCACGGCTCCAGGCGGCGCCGGCAGCGGCCGGGAGTGGACCACCGGCCCCGGACCATCAGCGTACGGGGCCAGCGAACTGTCGGGGGCTGTGTCAGAGGGGCGGGCTCGACCGATCAGAGCTCTGGACTGATGTGTACCGACTGACCTATCCGTGAGACACATGCCGTTTTGTGCCTTGACAGCTCCGCCGTTGTGGGTCTGTGCATGAAGTGTCCGTGAGTAAGAGAATCGAGCTCGAGTGGTCAGCTGGCAGGAGCTGGCAGTTGGCTAGCTGCTGAGTTTGGAGGCCATAACCGAAGAGATGATCAGTACATACATACACAGCGTGATGCATCCAACGATAACAACATGATACACCCAACGGTAGCAGAGTGAACAGGTCATGCTTTAGTTCTAACTCGGTCGGGTGACCCGGTCATCTACAACGCAAATTAAGAAGGAGCCGGTGCCCGCAATCCGCTGGCTGCTCCGCCGGCAGGCAGCAGCCCCGACCTGCGGTCCGCGGGCAGTGACCCGTGGCCCGTCGGTGACTACGGTCGGTGACCTGGCCCGTGACCGGTGTCCGCCGGCCGGCAGGCTCCAAGATCTACACGTCGCCGCTGCAGGTGGCCGGCCTGCACGTGACGGACCTCTGGGTGGACGGCCTGATCGACGGCGTCAACCTGACCTCGCTCCTCTCGGCGGCCAACGTCAACGCCAGTGAGTCCCGCGCCACCGGAGCGGAGCGGCCGCGCCCGGCCGCCGCCCGGCCGGCCAGCCAGCCAGCCGCCCGCCGGCGCGAGGAGGGGCTCCTCCGAGCTGTGTGCCTCCAGGATTGCGCTTGGTCATCTCGTGATCACTAGACGTCAGACGCGTGCGGTTATGATCTTTGCTATCATCAGACGTCAGACGTGGTTGTGGTTGTGGTCTTTTTCTTCAGGCACGGTGGTCGCGCGTAGTTGCCTGAGGGCCATTGTATTAGCGTGTTTTGGCGTCGTTTGACGGAGACGTGGGCCGTCTTCTCCCCTGGTGACGTCTGCACGTGGGTCGAATGTTGACACCAGGACGGCTCCTCCTCCAGCATACACGATAGTGACCGGCTCTCAGAACTTCACCAACAAGGTGACGGTCTCCACCCTGATCGTGTCTGGCCTCATCAACGGCGTGAGCCTGCTGGAGCTCTTCCAAGACGTGGTCCGTGACGGCATCGTCAACGGCGACCTCGTCTTCCAGAACAACGCCACTGTGGACGACTTAAAGTTTATCGGTGAGCCGCGGGGCTGGGCGACGCTGTGGGGGCGAGCGTGACGCTTTCCTGAGGTCAGACGTGACGTGACGTCGGGGGCATCGATGTGGTCGCCGTCTGGCTTGCAAATTCTATTTTCTGTGTTTTGTTTCCTTTGAAGCATAAGGATGTGCGTAACTGAGCAGGCGACTCCTGACTTCGGCAGCGCTTTCAGTGATGTTGGGCGTATGTTGCAGTTTTGGCAAGTCTTTTGAAGCAAGCACTGTGTTGTTGCGGGACGAGTGTGGCATTGGCCTTTGTGCTATCAGAGCTGCAACTCAAGAGATTGGGCAGTTTCTGTGCATTGCTTCAGGCTGTAACGTTGCGTGCTAAAACACTACCATAGTTGAAAGTACCGACTTGTGGTTTTTCTCCCACAGACTCTTTCTGCCGACGAAACCGCAGAAATGTAGCTGCGTAAACAGAAAATTGACTGGTATCAAATGAATCACCCAAGCGTGCCACAACCATTGATCGATCTTGCTCAAACAGGAACTCGCGGTAGGCCGACGCCGTTCTAGAGGTCCTGGTGACTCTCGCCGCCTCCCGCCGACGCCTGACTGCGCGTGTGCGCCGGCAGGCACGTTTGACGGTATGAGCAGCGACGAGTTCGGCTCGGCCTGGCTGACGACGGCCGGCGGCCAGGCGCTGGCGGCCGGCTCCCACCTGACCGCCGGCGCCGACCTGACCGTGCTCGCCCTGCACGTGCTGCCGGACGGCTCGCTCAACGGCGTGCCTGGCGACCAGCTGTTCGCCGGGCTGATCCGGCTCGGCGCCCCTGTCGTCATCAACTCCAACGTCACATTCAGTGAGACAGCTGCGGAGGCGACCTCCAGCGGAGAGGCGGCCGCTGAGGGGCGGCGGGCGGCTGAGCGGGCCGGTTGCAAGGTGTTACCATGTCTGGCGGAGCTTCAGCGCCTCGCACGCGCGATGCCGTCGGCGTGTGAGCGCCGTGCATGGTGCGAGACTCTCGTAGTCATGCGCTTTTCGTCCATCTCCAGTAGTGTATGGCTCCAGTCGTCAAAAGTCAGTTTCTATTGCCCGCAGGCTATGATCTGACCATTTGTCTCTCCATCACCACCAGCCCCCGTCCCCCCCCCCCCATCTTGACGCGTTGATGGGCGTTAAGCGTGACGATAACTGCCACCAAGCGTGATGCGCGACCTGTCGCACGTGAGCCGGCCTGCCCCGTGACCCGACCGACCCCTGGGCGCGCCGCTGCCGCAGACCGGCTGGTGGGCGACGCGGTCGCCGTGCGCCATCCCAGCGTCAACCTGACTGACGTCGTGCGCCAGAAACCTTAGCGAGATCCTGCTCGGCTCGAAGGTGAGAGTGCGCCGGACGCGGGCTGCGTGGTCTAGACAGTTGAAGAGTGTTGCTAGGGGTGCCAGTCACCTGCATGCATTAAAAGTAGAGTCGTGTTGACTCTGAAGAACTGAGGAGGTATGTTGTGGAAGGAAGTAGACAGGATATTGACCGCAGCAGACACAGGATTGCAAATGCTCAGTCTCAAATTTTGCGTCATGGTATATCCAGGAACAATGACCAGTCGAGAGGTTTCGGTCTGTCGGGCGAAATAAGTTTGCCGTTCTTTTAAAGGCATTTAGGAGCCTAGGAAAGTGCCCCTACTGGAGGCGCTTACGCTCATTACGTGTGCCGGCAGCTTCATCTGTCTACCTTTGCGCAACGCGAAGGAGCTTGTCTGCTTTTTATTAGAGGGCTTCATATCCTACGCGTTGGGCAGTTTGCTTGGTGCGCTTGTTTCTTCATCCGCTGTTTGGGACGCCGTTTACGTCCTGAGCAGCCTTCTTTCTCGGCCTGTGCGCCTTGATCACGCATCTCTTGGGCGGTGCTTTTTCCCGGAGTGGACCCACTAAGCCGATGATGACGAGTGAAGTTTTGTGGCGGGCTGACGCCATGGCTCGTCTGCGCCCGCAGCGACTCACTAAGGTCGTGCGCCTCCGACAGGTGTTCCTGGGCGGCATGTACGCCCTGGACACGCTCACCGTCACCGGCCCGGTGAACGGGATCCAGCTGGATGACGTGTGTCAGCGTGTGGTCCGCACCGACACGCCCAACACCTTCGCCAGCCTCACCGTCAACGGTGGGTGCAGCGCTGGGCGGAACCTGCTCACCGGCGCTGCGGCGCGGACGGTGGCGGATCGGTCCAGGCGCTCGGTGAGGGTGGGTCCAGCTCGCTGACCAAGCTCTTGACTGTCTTGGTTGCCATTTCGTTTGGGCCGTTAGCGTAATCCGCAGTCATGTCAATTGACTGTGTCAGTGCAAAATAATTTAGGGCACGTGTTTGAGGGTGATTTCTTGTGTGCCATTCGTTGTTCTAAGACGAGCTGTTTGCTTTCAGGCAACGTGACCCTCCACCGCGCGACGAACCCGCTGTCCTGGACGCTGAACGGCCTGGACTTGAGCCGGCTGGACCGCCTGGTATGGCTGCGTGACGCGGATCAGACCCTGGCCGGCCACATTTTTCTGCAGCAGCCCTTGTTCGCCAGCGTCGAGGTCCAGGTGAGCGTTGGCTGGTGTCGCTTGGGGCGGGCGGCGGGCGGGGCGAGACGCTCGGGGATGCTGACGACGCCGGCTGCTCCCACCGCCGTCTGTCTGGGTGGCCCGGGTCGTTCACGTGTGTGTGTGTGTGTGGTCCTTCTCTGGTCGGCTGCGTGCGTGGGCGTCGAGGTCCGATCCGCCGCCAGCCTGCCTCCTGATGTCGAGGTCTCGTGTGCGTGATACGGCACGTACGCGCGTGTGCTGATCTCCGAAAAACTCAACATTCGTGAAAAGGCCCTTGTGCATAACGTATTCAGTCGCTTAAAGCCCCGCGTGCAATCCTCTCTCCTGAAACACCACCCGGTCGCTGGCAATGTCGTCAATAACCGGGCGAGCATGCTCTGCCTGCGATGCCTCGCCGTGTCTGGACGCTAGACGCCCTCTGCACAGCCGGTACCGACGCGGGCGGCGCCACCCTTGGCCGCGCTGTACGGGCGGTACTCCTGACACAATATAGCTGGCAACAGAGACAGACGACGCGGTTTTTACGCGGCTTTACGTCTAATGTAAGAATTTCTAAGACCTCAACTTCTACACGGCCAATCTTGTAATGTGAAAGCTTGTGCGCGACAACACTCCTGCCGGACAAATGGTATCATTCAAAAACCTTCACGCAATACTACTTGTGCAAAACATTATAATTATAATTACCCGTGAAATTCCAAGCAGCAATAAAACCTTTAATGCAAAAGCTTCTACGCAACGTCCTTCCTGTGCGGCAGGTCTTCCAACAAATAAATTTATATGTAGCACTTCTTCCAATGCAAGAGCTTCTAGTCAAAAGGGTCCGCAAAAAAACTTCGGAAAGAAGCCTGCAGGACACTGCTTTACGCGAGGAATGTCAGTCCCTGTCCTTCCCCACAGTTCTACGATCCTGGTATTCGAAAAATGCAATGCCTGGACATCCCGGCGTCCCGTGGTGGTATATTGTTTTGGACGTTTACTTAGCATTGTTTTGTACCTATGAAGATAAAAGTACAGGTGCATGCCATTGGATGTGTGTTTGCCATCCCGCAATATCCGCGCGCATGTCATGTACACATTTAATTGGGGTGAAAGTGTCAAATTTAAAAAAGACCACTCCCTGAACTCCTGTGCGCAGTTATGAACGATAGTTTTTCATTTTCACATGTGTCCAGTGTGTGGGGAGTATGGCGTATGACCGTACCACATGAGCTGCTGAACCTGGAGACATCCCATCCAGGAGTGGATCTAAGGGGGAGGGGGGAGCTATGGAACCGAGTGTCTCATAAGTGTTCGCATTACCAGTGCTGTCATCCTTACGCACATGCCTAATATATTTTTGCATAAGATATTTGTCGCGAGTAGCTCATGCATTAGAAATATTTGTATTGTACGTTTTATCGTGCGGAAGCAAAATCGCGTGGAAGTTTTTGCGTAAGGAGTTTAGTCACGTAGAAGTGTCCCTGGGCCGCGACCCGTTCCCACCACCGGCCCGGCCGGCGCGTGCCGCAGACGCTGCTGGCGGGCGTGCCGCCCGCGCCGGTGGACCTGCTGACCTACCTGCGGCACCACTGGAACCTGCGCCGGCCGCAGACTGTGACCGGTGACGTCAGGTTCGGCGGCGGCCTCACCGTGGACCACCTGACGGCCAATCAGCTGGTAAGGCTCGGGCTGGGTCACTGCGGGTCAGCGCGCCAGCGGCTGACGGCGGACGGGGTGGCTGCTTATGCCACCGCGTGAAGCCGAGGGGTATCTGAAGATGGCGCTGGTATTCTAGCAGCGAAGTGCGAAATAAAGTACGGTCAAACTAGCATTTATGTGAACATAACCCGACGCTTTGCCATGAGTTTTGCCTGTCGCACTGCCATGAGTTTGATGGGTGCCGCGCGCCCACCTGCCCGAACTCGCCGGGCCTCGCCCGGTATGACCCGACCCTGGCCGCTCGCGCACCAGACTGTGACGGGCCGGGTCAACGGCAAGGACCTGAGCGCGCTGATGGCCTCGGCGCTGACCGTCGCTGGTGGCACGGTCACCGGACACTGGACCCTGCCCGACCTTATCGTCAATGGTGGGTGTTCTGCTCGACCTCATCGGCGGCGGTCGGTGTGCTGTCGTCAACGATGGCGTGGGTTATGCCTGTTGTGCACGTGGTCCACGTTATCGTAGCTTTCCTGTGACGTTTAATGATCCACTGGCGTGCGTTGAAGAGTCGTTTGGAAATCGGAACCTTAAGACCCGTGATGCAATGCAATGCAAGCCTTAAGCGGGTCCCTGCCAGGATGTGCGTGTTGCCCACGCCACTGCCACTCGCAGGGTTGTTAGGCGCTGGCTGTGGAAAGCCCGCTCCCTGCGCTTTGGGCTGGAAGCAGTCATTCGCAACCCATTCACAGCCTCGCTCCGTTGCAGGTCCCCTGATGTTCACCAGCCTGAACGGCATCCCGGCCGACGCTCTGGTCAAGGACTCGGCCACCGAGCTGCGCTTCAGCTCACACCAGACTGTGTACTGGCTGACTGTCAGTGGTATGGACCGGTGGGCCTGCCACGCACTCTCATATTGGGCCACCCGCACAGTTGCAGCCATGTGTGATGTGCGAGTCTGCTCGCCTGATGTGCTCCCAGCAGTTTAGTCTGCAGTGCAGCCTGTTAGACCACGTCCACGTCTGCAGTCTGTTGGGACCACGTCCGCTTGTTTATCTCTGACCTGTCCGGGCAGTGCTGAAATCGTGGAAATTGATTTATATTGCGTGAGTGAGCTGTAACAAACTATTTCTTCTCGTATCGCCATTATCACTGGCAACATCAAACCTACGGAGGTGAGTAGCGTACGTAAGTCGCTTCCCGGCTCTACGATAGTTTCTGAAAGCGTTGTTTACTCATGCGGTTCGACGCCGTCCTGGGGCGCCCTCTGCCCAACGCGCTTCTGCCCGGTCAGTCCCGGTCCCGCCCCTCTCCACAGGCGACCTCAGTCTGCCGGACGGCGGCCAGGTGTTCAATCTGGACCCCTCGAAGCACCTGCACATCTCCAACTTCCTGCAGCGACACGGCACGTTCACGGTCTCCTCTGACGTCACGTTCGGCGCGCTGACCTTCACCCGCCCGCTGATGTGAGGACCGGGGGTAGCGGCGCGGCCCCCTAGGGGCGACCGCTCGGGGCAGCGGCACGGCTCCCTCGGGGCGACCGCTCGGGGCGGCGGCGCGGCTCCCTCGGGGCGACCGCTCGGGGCGGCGGCGCGGCTCCCTCGGGGCGACCGCTCGGGGCAGCGGCACGGCTCCCTCGGGGCGACCGCTCGGGGCGGCGGCACGGCTCCCTCGGGGCGACCGCTCGGGGCGGCGGCGCGGCCGGCCGCTGAGGCCATCCGCGCGGTGCTGGTAGGCCCGCTGGCGCTGGCGAAGCATCTATACGTGCTGCCGAAGGGTGGCCATAACCGTGAATGGCGCTGGCCGTGCTCGCGAACGTCCTGTTGCAGTGAGCGCGCTGGCGTGGCGGTCCGTAGCTCGAGGCCATGGTCAGCCGTGCGCCCTTTCGTCACCCAGAGGAGAGGGCCTATCCAAGTGCGTGCCTTATCTTCTTGGTTAGTTTCTCCAACGTGATGCAGTCCTCGCGCCTGTCGTGTTTACCTCGCCGCTGGCAGCCGGAAGGCCGCCGCCGGCGTCGCGCGCCGTGTCGACCCGCCATGGCGTGCACACCAGCCCCGCCCGTGCCCGGCAGCGTCAACGGCACGGTCGGCGGGGTGCCGCTGCACCAGTCGTCGGTGCTGACGCTGTCCAGCGACCAGACAGTGCGCGGCCACACTTGGCTGCGGCTTGCCGGTGGGCAGTGTCTGGTCTCACCCAATCTGGACACGCCCAGCCTGAACGGCGTCGACCTGCGCCGCCTGCTAGGCTCGGCGGTCAGTACCGGCTGGTCCGCGGTGGTGCTGGTCCGCCGCTAAGTCAGCTGGGCCCGGCGGCCGGCTGCTGACGGCGATAGGCCGATGGGCCGGTGACAGTAGCCGTGGGTGGATGACTGTGAATGGCTGGACGACTGGATGGATGGCTGACTATGGACGGATACATGACCTTGAATAGATGGATGACTTAGAATGGATGAACGATCTTGGATGAATGGATGACTGGATAGGTGACTGGATGGATGGTTTGATAAACGGATTTCTGGACGGATGGATGACTATGAGTGGATAGATGACTAGATGACAGCCACCAACACCAAGTCTGTGAAAGTGTTGCAACTGGGAAAAATTGCATTTGGTAGAAACAGAGCCTCCAGCATTGATCCTGTGGCAACACACGGGGTCGGACATTGGAGACGTAAATAACTGGAAACCACTGGGAATTGGCCAAGTGAACCTCAGGCGTCAGCGCAGCGTCATGACGTGTATCGCAGACATCGCACGCCACCGTCATCGTCTGATCTCACGCCGGTGGCACTGTTGCCTCCTCCGCAGGTCCGGCTGAACGGTTCATACAACGTAACAGCTTACTGGACTTTCACTAACATGCCATTCTTCATCGACTACAACGTCACCAACTCCGCCGCGGAGCAACAGCTGTACGAGGTCGGAGACGTCTTAGTGGTCTTGGTGCTGTTTTTGGTGAAGTTTTCCATTGGATTGGCTGGTTGCAGCTCATTAGTGGGCCCGCTATCTGTGTTGAGCCGCCATTGACTGGTTGTGTAATGCCTTTGCTCCTTTCGGAGTTCAAGTTTATTTTGTAACTGTTAGATGGTGTTAGTAAGTTTCATCTCGATGTTACGTCTTTTCAAGAGCGTTCAGGTGTTATAGCGTGTCACGGTCAACCCCGCGGTCGGACGTGAGCGGTCGGACGTGAGCGCGCCTCTAAGCTTCACGAATGCGACGCCGTCCCTTGTCTCTGTTGTCTCTCCCGCTGACACAGCTGTCCCCGCCGACAGCTGCTGCAGCTGCTGCTCAACGCCCAGGACCAGCTGCAGTTGGTGGACGAGGCAGTAGCCCGCCAGTACGTCGCCACCGTCCAGTACATCTACCAGGCCCTGCTGGACGCCCGCGGTCAGTGCCCTGTCTCGCCAGACGTTGCGGCGCGTGCTGTCGCCATACTCTTCGCCCATGAAAGCTGAGCCGCCTGTTTGGCGGCAGCGAGCATGTCTGTGGCGGGCTAGTGTTGCGGACAGCGGCGTTGATGCAACGGTGAAGTTGATGACTTCAGTGCTGTGACACAGCCGCACCAGACAACGCTGGCGTTGGCTGAACCTCAGGGAATGTCAGTTGATTTGAGACATTTCTGTGGCCGTGCTCTGATGCAGAGATGGCTTTCATCTGCATGGACGCTGGTTGTTCTCTTCAGTCTCCTCTGTTCTGAACTGAGCTCCATCTCCAATGGACTGAGCTCCGGCTGTCACACGAGTCACGGCGTCTATGCTCGAGCCCGGCGCGCCTCTGCAGGCGTCTCGGAGCGCGAGCGGACGGCGTTGGCGCCGCGCCGTCCCGCCGTCCCCATGACGTCAGTTCCGCTCCAGCCCGGCTGCAGGCGGCCAGCTACCTGCAGTACTACGTGCAGACGCAGAGCTGGCGGTCCGACGTCATCCGGTTCGCGCCCGTCTACCTGGACGGCGAGGGCCAGCCGCCCACGCTGCTGCTCGCTATCTGGGATACCCGGATCCGGCTGCTGCGCTGGGCAGCCAGCGCCGGAGGCGTCTTCGGCCAGTGGACGGACGGTGGGTGCCGTGACTCGCGGCTGTGGGGAGGGGTCTGGTTCGTGCAGCGGGCGCAGCCGCCAAACGCGGAGAACGGACAAGCTCGTCCAGTGCCCGGGGATAGGTGAAAGTGGTGTTGGATTAGTTTGGAGCGGACGCTGCGGAGTGGTTCAGATGGCAGACCAGGAGCACACGCTGTCAAACTCATTGTCGTTAAACTTTCGGTTATTTTTCGTGAGCTCTTCGCCCGAACGCTGTGTAAAAACAAGACCTCACCTGGTCTTTGGCTTTGGACGAAGGCGTGCACGCAAAACACAAACCATTTAAAACGTATTTCTGACCCGCAAATTAGAACGATGTTTAGCTGTTCCCTGGTGAAAGACGTGGCACAATATCTTGCCATAATCCGAGCCTCATCGAACTCATTGGGTGGACGATGTTCTTCCAAGTCCAGATATTCTCTTTTGTGGTTTGGGGGGGTAGTCATTTTATAGAATGTTAAGAGGCCTCGACAATAGTATTGGGGCCCCAAGGCCCTCCAAAGCGACACAAAGCTCCACCCACGGGTGTCACACACAGTCGCCTGACGCTGCTGAGGGCGCTCTCTGTGCTGCAGGTCCTGCGTATCCTGAGGCGCGGCTGGCCTGGATGGCCGGCCTGATGCGGGCCGCCGGCACGCGGCACGCGGCCGTCGCCCGCATGGCGGCGCCACCGGCGTCTGCCGCCGTCCCCGACCAGGTGTACCGCTGGGACGACCCGGGTGAGAGAACACGACCGGAGGGCGTGCGTTCTTTTCCCTGATTGTTCGTCAGTGCGAGTTGCGTTATTTTAAGGTTATTTTCAAGGCTAATGCCATTTTAAGGTTATTTTCAAATGTGCTATCAAGATTATCTCCTTGATTGCCCGTAGAGCAGCGTTGCACTAGCGCTGCTGCATCCTCCACAATAAGTACACCCGTCTCAGACAATGACTTCCACAGGGGAAATGATTAAAATGAAATCGAATAAATGCAATGCACACGTTATGATCATTTCAATCCTAAAAATGGCAAAATTGCCAAAGGATTTCTGTGCCCATGCTAGTATTGACAACGCGTCGCGGCCTGCAGAGTAGACCGCTCGTCGGGTGATGGCGAGCGGCGCAGCAGAGGGGCCCGGGGCGCTGTGAGAAAACGAGTACCACCAATTTAGAAGAATCTAGTATGGTAGCCACACTCGAGAATAGTAAGTTAGGAGGCATGAATGCTACTGAAGTAAGAATCGGCGGCCAAGTTTTTGGTTCTGCTCAGTAATTCTGCTTGGGAAATTTAACGAATACTAGATATTTTGCCTTCTGGTTACCCTTCACTAAGGATAAAAGCTGTCCTGGTGCTTGAACGCGGTTGCAGATAGAAATGTGGTATGACGAAGGTCATAGGTGCTGTTTGTGGTTTTGCTCGCCAAACGCAGCTTCCGGTGCTTGTAAGCTTCTGGCTTACTCTGTAATGGCAGCATTTGGTCGCGAAAATAAGCTTTTTATCATGTGTTGGATGTGTTTAACGTAAGTGTTGGCGTAAAAGGTTTTCAGTCCGTTGAGATCTAACGTTAAGTCAGTCGGTCAATCCCTTCGGCCCGCTGGACATTTCATGCTTACTTTCGATATTGTGCTTTTACATTTGTCCACATCTTCCAAAAAAGAGTTACTTGCGATCTATGAATTATTTAGTTCACTGACGTCAGCGGTCTCACAAACCATCCGATAAATTGCAAAACAAACTCGCTTATGGCCAGACCAATTTTTTCATGATCATCGTCGCCGAATTACTGGGCCGTCGACATTGTTTTGCAAGATGCTTATGAGCGGGAGCGAGTCTTTAAATGACATTTTTGTAGATATCTGCCCTGGTTTTTAATGGCAGCTTATGATAAACGAATGGTTTAATCGAATTTTATGATGCCAGAGATTTTGATTGAGCGGAAAACATGTCATCAGTGACGGGGTTTCATGTTGTGATGATGGCTCCGTGCTTGATAACACATCCGCAAGATATAAACAGGCTATGATTCGGTCCCTGGGTGGCTTCAAACTATGGTTTTGGACAGCTGTGCGCAGTTGGGAGCCGATTCTGGTTCCGCTTGTAATGCGGGACACCTGATTATGGAAGCAACCTGAACGGTACCGACTCTGGTAACAGGGATCTTACAATAAGCGTCTCTAAACCTGCATATACAGGTCTTAATGATGCATTTATTTGATCGCTCAGGTAAATATAGATCAGGATGTCGTGAACTGTACACGTAGAAGTATGTTAGCTGTCAGAAAAATGATGTGTCATCAATACCGGCGAGTACTCTCGAGCCGGGTCGATTGCGGCTCCAGCTGTGTTTCAAATGAACCGATTCCACCATGTCTCGTGCGGCATGTTTGATTACGGGGCGGATTCCAACCCCAGCCGGAACAGGGCCCGGGTCGGCCGGCGGACACGGAGCACGCGCCGCGCCGCCAGGCCGCCCCGGGGCAGCGCCGCTTCAGGGAAGCTTGGCGTGTGGGCCGATGCATATTCGGTTGCGATATGTCGGAGCCCCGTAACCGGAGCGGATATGCAGCCGCAGCAGACGGCAGCGTGGGTCCGCCACACCCACCCGGCGCCAGACGAAGGCCGCCTCCCAATCGACAGTTCGCTATTCCACCTGCGTGCTGGCCGGCGCCGTCCAGCGCGGCCGCCCACCCGTCTGACTGGGGCTCGTGGGCCGCCGTTGGGCTGGCGCGACCTTGACCTTCACGTGTCTCGTCTGGCACGGCGGCGCGCTGTCTGACGTGGCTCGCGTTGCAGTGTTGGAGCAGCTGCACGGGGCCGTCAACTACATATTCCTGTACCATCGAAACGTCCTGGTCCAATCACAAGCCATGCCCAGCCATAAGACGGTGGATGTGAAGGTAAATACCGCGGGGATGTGAAAGGTAATTGCCGACCGGGACGCTCTTCAGGCATTGAAACAGTCGTGGCGTCACGCACGACAAGTCGCATGCGTCCCTCAAATGCTTCCCTTAAGACATATAACGAAGTCCGCAGTACGTGCGTAGTAATTCGCTCCAGGTCCGGTCGTATGGAATGCGTTGCACTTGCGTGATTAAAACGTCGCGTGCCGCAGCGCACCCGCGTCTAGTAGAGGTATGCATGCAAACTTTCCAACCTTTGCGGTGGCCTTTTACAGCACACCTTAGTAGCACCCTTATTGCGTGCTATTTCCATTCGGTTTCGCCGATGATTCACTGTCCCGCGTCTGTCTTCGTTCCCTTCGCAGAGCCTGCAGCCGTCCTCCTCGCACGACTGTTTCCTGTTCGTGCACTTCCTGGGTAACGTGTCGCACCTGGCCTGCTACCGGGACGCCCAGACCAAGTTCACCCTCCACCAGGCCATCGACACGCACGGCGGACGACAGGTCGGTGACCTCTGACCTCCGGTCGGAAGTCTGTGATCTCCCGCGCCGCTGAGAGCTGGCGGACTGGACCGCGCGCGCCGTCTGGTTCGAATTTGGGCCACAAAATGTCATAATATGCAGCCGTATTTAAGTTTAAATGTTTATAATTTTGTGTTCATAATTTTGTTCATGTATGATTTTTGTAACTTCTAGTAACAATTGGGTTCATTTGCTAGTCGGAGCGGCCCGTGAATGTGGCCTGGGCTGTTATGTAGAGCGCAATAGCTCACGTTTAGTTCGCCAGTTAGACTCTGGTGTTGGGCAGGCCTGGATCATACTGTATATCTTCGATCACACTCCTACTGCCGATCGTGAGCGACACGCCGACTTAGTCAATGTTTACGTGCAGCGAAGGGCTTCATAACGTTATTGGCTCTGCAGACGTGTCGGTGATGTGTGGGCGGAGTTGTGGATGTGCAGATAACGACGTGGACACTTGGAACTAGACGGGTAACATCGTGGCGCACTACCAGTCCCAATCTCACGCACGGCTGGGGCGGACGGCACCACTCTGGTCTCCAGCCAGCTGGGGTGGACGGCACCTCTCTGGCCTCCAGTCAGCCGGGGCGGACGGCACCACTCTGGTCTCGAGCTGGCCTAGGCGGACGGCACCTCTCTGGTCTCGAGCCAGCCGGGGCGGATGGCACCCCTCTGGTCTCGAGCCAGCCGGGGCGGACGGCACCTCTCTGGTCTCGAGCCAGCCGGGGCGGACGGCACCTCTCTGGTCTAGAGCCGGCCAGGGCGGATGCGTTTGCCGTGGATGACGCCACGTGCGGCATACTCCCTCTTGATTGCTTCAGATAATTCCGTCCGACACCTATCCCAGACGTCGTCATTGATGACGCCAGCCGCCGCACCCGTGCCCCTGTCCTCCCCTCGCCTCTCGCTCTCCGGCGGTCGTCTTCTGCCGGCAGGCGTCCGTGTACTCTGCCGCCGGAGAGGCGTGCGTGGCGGTGGCCAACAGCGGCGCCGGCGGCCGGGTGGACCTCTGGTGCTGGGCGGCGGCCGCGACCCGGCTCACCCTGCGCCAGACCATCGCCTCGGCGGCCGCCGACGTCAGCACGGCTGTCCTCGACGACCACCTGGTCATGGCCGTCGTGCGGGAGGCCACGCACAAGTACGATGGCATCGTCAACACGTACAGGTGCGCTTCCGGGCTTGACCGCGGGGCGGCGAGGGGGTGGGGCGGGGCAGAGGTGAGCAATTGTGGCGTAAGAACAGGGAGGGACGTTGTCTGCAGCTGGTCTGTGGGTTTGACCGAGAAGTGGTCAACGTACAGAGTGGATCGCGTGTCAGTAAGTTGAAAATAGATGTGGTGAGCCCGCACTAGCCAGCCAGCGCGTTAGGCCACCGTTCAGTAATCCGCTGTTTGCGGTTGAGTCGTCAGAACAGCGGAACTGATTTCGATAGCTCTTGTGCCGTACCCGTTTGCCACTCATGTTGCTTCTATGCATCATTGCAGGCCGTATTTTGCGCACGATGTCTCAACCGGTTTTGCAGCGCCTTTTTGTCGTGTTTATGATTTCGGGCGTCAGCTGGTTGTTCATGAGAGCCCACGCGTCGGAGCGCGACTCTCGGTGTCCGCCGGTGCCGGGTGCAGACGGCAGCAGGTCCTCTTCATCTCCTGCCACACCGTCGCAGGTTCGAGCCGATCATCGGCAAGTGGGCGCATGCGCAGACGGTGCCCGTGCGGGGCGTGCGGTCGGCCCGCCTGCTGGCGCTGCCGTCCGGCGAGCTGATGCTGACCTGCCTGACGGATGACGGCCGAGCCGTGTACCTGCTGTACCGCGGCGCCGCCGGCGGCTTCGAGGCGCGCGGCGAGTTCGCCGTGGGCCACGCCGCCACGCTGGAGGCGTTCAACCTGGCCGGTCTGGCTACGCAGCTGGCGGTGGCCGGCCGGTCGCGGCCCGACATGTTCGCGCTGCATACGCACTACCCGGCCGCCGTGTACGCCGGCAAGTTCATGGGTCATGAGTGGTAGGGGGGCTGATGGAGTGTTATGCCCTCCCCCTCGCCCACCCTCCCCGGCATCGCCCCCGCCCCCTGGCGGCGTTGGTCGGCGCGGAGCGAGTTATCCATGTTACGTCAAGTTTGGCGGCATTGTCAATGTCAGGGCGTGTAGCGAATTATTGATCCGATGCTGGTGTCTTCCCTGCGGGCGGATTTGCTGGTTGACATTGTTGGCGCTTCTTTTTGGATGTGTCTGTGCTGTTGTGAACGAATTATATTTCCGGGTGTTTATTGTTGTCCGGATTTTTCCACAACTCGATGATACACTGTTCTGCTGGCGCCGCTCAGTGCTCGAACTGCCGTATGGCGAAATATAAGCGCAATATTGCAAACAAATGCGTTTCCGGCATAGGTTTAGCGATAGTCGATGACACGGCACACCATTCTGGACTTCACCTTTATTTTACATGTACACTGCACGTTCAAACTAAATGTTTATTCACAAATGGTAATGCCGGGGTCTGCACGCGGCGCACACGTATTTCCAGAAGTGGACGGCGGGCCGCCGGAAACGGAACTGGGAACTAGGGACGTGCCGCCCGACGCCGTCCCCCTCTCGGAGGTGGTGACGGCTCGGCAACCCAGTCAAGTGCAGCCGGGGCGGCGGCGGGCGGCGGTCCAGGCCCGGGGGCCGCCGGGCTCGGCCGTCAGCCGGGGATTGGTTCAGGTCTGGGGAGCGTACACGTGCCCCCCGGCCGACGGGGAGCCCACAGAACAGGCGAGGACAGGCGAAAGTAGAGCGGAGCTCGAGCGGAGGCGAGGAGGAGAGGTGACAGCAGCAGGGGCGGCCCGCGCCTACGAATCAGACTATCCGACGGGGTGCTGCGCCTCTAGCAGCTCGGAGCCTGCGGGTGGAACTCCGGACGCCGCGGCCGGCCGGTCCGCGCCGCCGCTGGCTCTACAGCCGTGGGGAGGGGAGAGCGGGCTCTGCGCGCGGCGGGTGGGCGGGCCGGCCCCGCCGGTGTGTGGAAACGCCTCGCCTGGACAGGGTGGTCTCTGCCGCGGCCACCGGCGGGGCGCGGCCGGCCCGAGCAGCGCCGCGCCGCGAACACAGCAAGCACGGCAGAGTGGGCGCGGCGCCGCCGGCGGTGCCGACCCGGCGCCGGGCGCGGACGAGCTGAGCTGGGCAGGTGGCGCCACGGGGGCCGGGCCGGGACGCGCGGCCGGGCGCAGGGCCGCGGGGAGGGCGGGGTGGGGGGCGGCGCGGCGGACCGGCCGGTCGTGGCGCCGCGGGGCGCGCGCATCGCAGGCTCCGTCACTGTGCGAGGTGGGCGTCGACAAGCGGTGCAGGAGGCCCGGCGGCCGCGCGGCACGCCGGGCCGCTGTCAGCTGGGCGGGCGCTCCCGCCGCCAGCCGGCGTCACTGAGCTAATCTATCCAGAAAATAGGCTTTCACACAAACATATGCGGGCCGCCGACGTCGGCGGAGACGGAGGCGGCGGACGTACTCGTGTCGTCGGCGCTCCGGCGGCCCGCGGCGGCGGCCCGCACCAACGTCTACGCACAGCACGTGTCCCCCGAGAGCGGCGCTCGTTCGCGGAGAGCGCGGCCGCCGCCCGTCGGCCTGCTCGCATCCCTGTTCGAGAGCAGGCCGCCGGCGCGTCCGCGCCCGCCGGCTGAGCTCGGGGCATGCTGGGCTCGCGCTCAGCGCACGGCCTCAGCTCGCGCTCGATCTGGGGCGCCCGGCTGGCTGCGGGCTCAGCGGCGGCGGCGCCTCTTCATCATCTGGGCCATTTTCACCAGCTTGGCCCGCACCTGCATCGGGAGGGCCGGGCACGCTCACCGTGGACGCTCACACTGCCTTCTGAGGCGGAGGTAGGTCGGAGAAGCACGTGAACAGTATGTGCCAGGAAATGTTTACCTTCTGCATTGAAGATGTTCCGCATAATGCTACAAAAGCATGCCATCTAGTCATATGAAATAGATAAGCATCACGCCGAAACAGAACTGATGGTTCTAGTGGTCACGCAAAAAGTGCAGAAAATGCTGACCGACGAAAACTAAGTAAAGTTGAATTCACCCACCGCCCCAAGTTCTGGCCAAGTCACAGATGTGCATAGTGTCGCTACGGTAGGCGGTAGGTGCTGTGAGTGTGTGCCGGTAGGTAAGGTAGGTAGGTAAGTGTGTGCCGCATGGCTTGGTGTTAGGAATGCGATATCGAGTGAAGAGCCTGCTGGTGGTGGTCACGAAAGTGTTGTTGCCTGAAGAAATCGTGCAATAAATAACATGTTTAGGTATGGGAAGTCTTTTCATCGGGGGCCCACGAACTCCTGTGACTGTGCTACACTCACAGCGATAGCTTCGGGCCTACGCGGGATTTTTCCAAAGCTATCCCTCGAGTGACCAGCATCCGCGTCTCCGGGAAGTCAGCCGAGTCCACTGACCTGCTGGTTGCCGGTGGAGTGAAAGAAGAAGATGACGACACCGACAACGGCGTTGAGTACGCCGAACGTGCCATACAGTGCCAGATCCTGTTCGTACTCGCTGAGCATGCCGACCACCCAGGAGGCGAACACCAGCGGCATTATGGCCAAGTTGGAGCGCTGAGATATACGCGCCGACAGCCGCTGCGATTTGTCCACGTCTGCCGGGGGTGTGGAGAGCGTCTTGACAGATGTGGAGGGCGATGTGGCCGGCGTGGGTAGTGATGGGAAATGTGGACAGCGGAGAGGGAGATATGGATCAGACAGCAGGGAAGGATGTGGTGGAGGTGTTGGGGGGGGGGGGGGGGGGGAAGGGGTGTCGGAGAGAGTGCAGACAGCGATGAGCAACGGATGCAAACAATGGCGGACGATGACAAAGATATGGACGATAGTGTAAGAGGTGTGGTCAGTGGCGTCAAATGTAAATACAGCGGGAAAAGGTAAAACAATGTTTGCACGCATGGTGTTTTCGACAGAACAGGTGCGCGTGGCGGCCGGAGAGACGTGGACCATGATGTTAGAAGTGTGGACATTAGTATGAGAGGTGTGGACAGCGAGGAGAAGCTCCTCTATATCGTGCGATGATTAAATCAGCATGGTTTACAAGTTATTCGGCCGTAAACAGCAACTGTAGCAAGGAGCTTATACTGGTCTAAAAGAAAGGCATGAGGGAATAGTGCCGGCGCTTCCGTCGCCACGAAGGCCAGCAGGGTGTCTCTGGCGGTCAGTATGTGGACAAAAGGCACCTCCACCTCGCACGGCTGCCTGCTCCGCTTCACCCGGCGGACTTCCTAGGCAAGCGTTCATTACTGCGACCCGCCGCCACATCAGCCGACCGCTCCCGCCCCGTGAGGCTCCCCAGCCCTTCGGCCGGACACTGCCGCACCTTTGAGCGGCGCATACTCCGCCGCGCCGGCCGCCTCGATCAGCGTGAACGTGATGATCATGATGGCGATGATGGGGATGTACTGGCCGGTGCAGAGCGGCTTGTCCAGTTGCAGCCAGCAGTGGTAGACGCCGCCGTAGTTCTCGTACTCAAAGCACATGGTGACCAGCACGATGAAGATGGACAGGCCCCAGCCGATCAAGGTGTTCTGCAGACGCGTGAAGAGCCCGTCCTGCGAAGTCAGGTCAGGAGTCAGGTCGTCCTGGAGCCAAGTCAGGCCGCCCAGCGTCGGATCACCCGAGCAAAACGCTGCAAGCAACGAAGAGTTAGGCTAAGTCAACCAGACACGTGCCAGGTCTCACGAGGTCAAGCCAGGTCAGTGGCCCGTGCGATGCCAGCATGGCCTGTGTCAGGCCTCAACGGGTCAAGTCAGGCCAGTGACCTGTGTCAGGGGAGGAATGACAGCAGAAGCCACTAGTGCTCTGCCTTGTAAACCAAATGTGCGCTCTAGCCCTCTCGTCAGCCACGGCAATTCAATTCTGCCATGTTTGCATCTTCGTCGACTGCTGGCGAGGAGAACATCTCTATGCCATCTTCCGACATCTTCGGAGAACGTGTCACCAATGCAGGCCCGGAGGATCCATGAGCTTACCTTTTTCACCACGTAGGCGACGAGGGAGTACATGTGCAGCGACTCCAGCATCATGAACATGAAGCAGGCCGTAAAGAAGAAGTGGACGAGGATTGACACGAAGCGACAGAGCGTCTGCAAATGAGGTAAGAGTAAAGGGCTCGCCACCACATCTGCCCGCCTCTGGAAACGACCGTCATGGTCACAGTATTTCCTCACGAGTGGTGACTCGATGCCTGGGGTTTTAGCCAGATGTGTGGCGTCATTGTTGGACCCTCAACAGCCATTTCTGGATAGCGTTCCTGGTCAACACGTCGCAATGTGACTGCAGAAAGAAAACATGCGCAGCTGCGATCGGCGTAAGAACGTTTGCAGGCGTCTGACACGGGCCCGTCACGTCCAGCGTCGGCAGCCTGCATCACAGCCACCCACCGGCAAGTCCACGATCCCCGGCGGGAACATGAGGAAGATGTGGGCCGAGATGATGGCGATCTCCATGTTCATCTGGATCACGCGGTCCGGGGTCAAAATTCTCAGCAGCAGGAACAGCGTCAGCGTCAGCCCTGCCAGGTCAGAGGCGATCAGCGCGCCGCTCGCCAGCAGCCTCTCGCCACGGGACTCTAAGACGTCAGCGGTGCGAGAGTCCAGAAGTTTCATCGTGCGCGTGAGGACATGGGGGTGCCGCGCGGGGGCGTGCTGGTGCTGACAGACGGCGGAGCGTCCTTCTCGATGGTAGTTTTAGAGTGAAGTTATGTGTAGAAAGTTAGGCCGCGAAAAGCTGCGGCGAACTGATTAGGGTGCGGTCATGATGCATCCTCTGTTTGCTATCGAACGAAGAGGCTCGCTTGGGCCGTTGTACGCGGCGCCGCCGCTTGCCCGACCACGGAAGGAATAGGGGCTAACAGAAGCTGGGTACAGGTGCCCTCCTCCCCCTCAAGGCCAGACCCCGCGTGGCGTGACGTACCGACGAAGATGATGAGCACGGTGGAGGCCGTCTTGCTGACCACCACGGCCACCGTCTTCTCCTCGGGC